TAAAAAAAATAAAAAAATAATTTTTTCTTTTTTTTTTTTTTTTTTTTTTTTTGCAAATCGAATTCGGATTCCAGGTTGGTTCATTCCCAGTAGAAGAAAAGATGAATATGATTCACGCTCCTTAAGAATGTATACATAGTTTTCTTTGAATAAACGTTATACATACAATTTCTTTAGTATTTTATTTTGGCATGGAACACATCATCGTATTTTACATTAATTTATATGGGAAAAATTGTTACGAGTAAGATTCTGGAACGAATTATACTCGTTAGGCGAGGTTCCACTGTAATGAGCTTCGTAGCAATTATTCGAAACAGGGGTGGTCGTTAATATATTATGGTACTACCAACGTAGAAAAATTAAACTGTCATGACACTTCGTAAACGCCTACAACTCTGTTCGAAGAATTTCGCACGGGTGCCTTCATTTATGTGTGGTTTAATTAACAACGATACAACTAATCCAGATATTGTAGCGTTCAGTGAGAGGGTGAGTAGTGAAGGATTAAGTTGAATGAACGTGGATGATAGGGGTCATGACTTAATTTTAGGCACCTCCGTATATTCCTGACGTGAGAAGGCAGAGGGAAACCATGGCAAGCCTCAGTCAGGGCAGCCAGTTCTTGAAGGGAGAATCGAACCCGAGAGCTCTTAAGCAGGAAACGGAAACTATATGCACTCGGCTGTTAGCTGTGATGTATTAGAATGCCCGAAATTTTTAGGCTCCGAGGTTCACCTTAATCTGGCCATAAGACATAGCAGAAAGTGCAAAAAATGAGCAGATAATGGGCACGTCCTTCAGCTCCACAACTAACGGACGAATTTTGCCTGAATTCGGTATTGCGGTAGTAGCCTATTAGAAAAACAGATGTTGGAGATTTCATTTTGTATCTATGTGGGGCAAGAGGCAGCGTAGTTGGTTGAGGCATTATGCTACAAACCGAAGGTCGCGGGTTAGATTCCCAATAAAGTCACTGGGATTTTCAGTTGACTTTAATCTTCCAGTGTCACTATGGCCCTGGGGTCGACTGTTCTGACAGAAATGAGTACCAAGAATCTTCCTGGCGGTAAAGGAAGCCGACGCTTAAGGCTGACAACCTCATCGCTGTGAGCCGATTGTCTAGAAAAAGTAGGAGCCTCGAAGTCTCACAACCTTATGGACCTCCATGGCCTGTTATAAGGATAGCTTTATCTTTTCCTTTACCTATAAACTATAACACGTACCTAGATTTTTCTTCATAACCTGTATTTATAATACTCGTATAGCCTTTGGAGTTTTTTTAATTCGATCTTTCAACAGCGTTTCGACATACCTTGCAGTCGGAATTTTCAGACTGAACCCAACGAAAGCAGCAGGCTACATACAACTCCTCCGTTCCTTTTTTTTTTTTCCTGGCTGAAAACAAATATTGTTGCTTCCTGTCGCCAGGGCGTGTGACTATGGTTCCATCGTGAGTGACTACCGATCTGAGTCCGCTTGGACTTTACACTCCGCGTTCGGGATTTTATCTTCTTCTTATTTGATGAACTACATATTTAGACGGCTATCATTTCATATTTCAAATTTCTGTTCATCGAACACGGGTTAACTGTTGGAAAACAGAGACAATTGCTGCACAAACTCTCTCTGTATATACTAAAGGAATGTAACGACAGACGAAAGATCTTAAATCTTTGACCTTGTAAAAGGAAACAATACGTTCCCCAGAAACGTTAGTGGACTTCTACCGAACTACACGGCTTCACAAACTAAAGGATCTTAAATACTAAACTACTTAGAATGAAAAAGGAAAAAGATGTTATTTGTATTTGCGCACATCAGAAGACAGAAGAAGAAGACAGTATAAAAGCAACGATAGCAGAATTTCTCTTTCAGTCGTCTTCTTCCAGCGAACTGCATTGCTGCTAGTCTCATGTTTATAGCTCAAGCAGGAGACCGCCCTTCCAAGGAAATGCCAGGAAAGTACATCAAATTAGACCAGTGTTCCGCAACCTTTTTCTACTCGCGGCACACCATGAAGTATCCATGACTCAACACGGCACACCAAAATGTTATTCCCTTCAAAAATGCATGATATCAGACAATTAATATAAATACATAACGTGATCAACTTATTACTATAATATTATTATATTGTTATTTTATTATCATTAAACAGAAATGGACTCCTGCATTTATTAACAATTAATGAACTTTAATTCACTGTAGAGTGTAGAAAATACACTTCTGTTACTATTAAAGTAAATACAGTAATTCTACTCATGCTTTCAATGTGATACTTGCGCCTGCGTAGCTGCACGCAGGCGACTGATCCGTGGTGGAATCGTTGACAACGCAAGTCTCATTTCTCCATCGATGGATTTGAGCTGCTCCCTCTTTGAAGTCTTAATTTCAGTTAACGTCGAGAAGCCCAGTTCACACAAATATGTAGTTGAAAATGTCAATAACACATTAACTGCCATCTCGGAGATAGCCGGGTAGCCACTCCTTGTTGCCAACCAAAACGTATCCAAAGGCACTTCGAGAAGTTTTAGTTTCAATGTTCTGTTTGCTTTTAAATCTACGAGTTCCACTTTTATATTACTCGGAAGATGTTCCGAATTCACAACAAATGGATCAAGAACCCAGTCGAAATCTTGTACACTCTCTCCAAAATACTTCTTGAATTTCTGCTGCAGCATTTCTAAATGTTCTTTAATTGTGTCCATCACCACTTTATTGCCGTCAGCAAGTGGCCATACAGTCGGGGACATCTCAAACGACCCGTCTGTAATTCTCTAACTAGCAACCAAAATTTGCGAACTACTTCAGAGCACAGCTGTCATAGAACTGAAACAATTGTAAACCGCGGGATCTCAACTCTTCACACGGAAGAAGTGACACTATGCCGACTTATTTTTGAAATATTTATAATGTTAAATGAAGTCCAACAATCGGTGGGTGCATCGTTACAGGAAGAAAGTCATAAAGTTGAAGAGGCTCTAACTTCTAACAAACAGGGGCAAATACCAAAACAGCGCTATAAAGGACAGGAAAACCCTTGCTAATCCCTGCACTTTTAAGGAAAAGCACGTACACAGAACATGCGGCAAGCATTTCAAAGAAGCTGCCTTGATGGGAGAAAAATAAAAATTAATCAATAATGGAAACTATGATATAACAACAACTGTGAGTAAATAATTTACGTTTAATTTCTTAGAATACAACATTACTGTACATATAAAATCACAGCATGTTATAAAGAATAAACAAGCATCATCATATTTAATCAGTACAGTGGCTCGGAATAAAATACAAGCATATGAAAGACAGTAACTGGGATAAAGTAAAACGAATACAATTCGACAATTAATTTCTTACAACAGGTAAAAGTTCGCGTCACACCTTTCACCTTGTTACGGCACACCAGTGTGCCGCGGTACACCGGTTGTGGAACACTGAATTAGACCACACAAGCGTCATTCCACATTTCTTCTCTTTTGTTTCTCATTAATTAAGCACCCCACCGTTTGACGCTAGACAGTCTGATGTTCTCGGTCATAAAGGTGTTAGAGATAATTCACGTTTGACTTGAAGCCCGAGAAGGTTTAATTGTATTACAAATCCTTTATATTACGCACGGTTGCTGAAAAGGGGGGAAGGCAAGAACTCTCTCCTCACACTAGATATGAGTAATTTTGTCAAATTTTCCGATTTGCTGCCAACTATGTTTGAATATCGAGACTCACAACTCTTTGTCGGACACGATCCATAAAATAATCTTGAAAGGCTTAAACTTAAGTCTGTAAGCAACTTTTCNATCTTATGACGTAAGTAAGGACGCGTGGATAGGATTAAAAATGTTGTTACTACATACGTCTGCCATCTTCCGAGCGTGGAGTACATTAATGTACCTAACAATCTGTTCATAGGTTATGTACGAAGGTGATCTGTGACGTCTGTGACGATCTGTGGCCGTCTGTGGTTCATATGGTTATGGCGGATATGGCTGCTGCAAGTGTAACAGTGTTTCTGTCTATGCTTGCCTGCGAAAGTGCGCATATGCTTTTCAGGCTTTGTTGAAGTAGGAGTGTAGCATGTTTCCTGAAATGAATGCATATGAATGAAAACTTATACTGATGTGACACGTCGTCAGCTCGTCTTGAAGGTTAGGTATTTCTTTTACCTTTACCTCCTAAAGTGTATTACACTTATTGTTGGTATTAGTATTTACTTTTGAAAATCAGTTACCGTTCACGAAAGCTCTGTGATATGTTTAATACAAGAAGTTAGCCATCATGAGAAATAGTCTTTCATGTGACGTCACATGAGGTTTTATGTTCTGAATGGTTCACTATGCCTTACCGGCTGCATTGTGATTGGTGATACATGCAATATGGCTGCGTTGTGTAGCTGTACTGAGATTATATTCTACAGTATGTTAGGCTTACTCCCCTCTTAATGTTATTTCTTTAGCAGTGTAAGGTGGGCATAAAGTTCGAATTATAAAATCCTGACGTACTATGTTCTGTTGTTCTAGTCTAAGCGTTTTTTGGGAAAACGTGTGTAAATTGCACTAAGCTTCACAGCAGTTGGTGTTGAGACGGGCAGCGTATTTTAAGTTTGATGTATTGTAATAGTATAGTTAAAATCTTGATTCATGTATTTCAGTATTAATATTAATTTTTATGTATCATTAATAGGCGATGAAGTTCGTTGTTTAAAGCTCTTTCTTTGGACTAAACCAAAGGATGCAGAATTTGTCATAAACACAGAATTGCATTTCTCACATGGAGATATCTACATAAAGCTTGAGGATTTTTTTAAACAAATTGTTTCAGTAAAGTTATCTAGAGTAGGCATGACTGAAGAGCTAATATTTTATTTATTGTATAGGCAAGAATGCTTTTTTGTATCATTTCAGTTTTTAAATGTAGGTGGAAGGTTATTGAATAATTTGATATCTTTATAGTAATACTGGTTCCTGATTGGCATGTGAAAGTTATATTTATGTCTTATGTTTAAGTTGTGTACATATGTTTTTGTTGATTTACCTCGTTTTCCATCACAGATGATCATAAGCAGAGTATTCGCTTAAATTTATTAAATTATTTAGTACAAGAGAGTCTGCTTTTAACACTCCAGTTATATTTTCTTTGGGAGGTTACATACCTTATTTCTGTCTATTCAGTCTCCTCTGACAGTATAGTGGAAGTCCACAAAATAAATAAACTAATTATCCTTTGTCATGACTGATGCAACTTTTTGGCAAAGCATCCACAGCTTAGTCTGGGAATGATGTATTTTAATGTCTTCTTTCCAGTTTATGTTATTGACAATTTATTTGCTACAACTTCTTCTGTGGGGGGCATACAGTAGTGTATGCTTGCTACAAGCTGGAAGGTCACAGGTTTGATTCCTGATGAGGTTATTGGATTCTCACTTGACCCATTCTAGCCACACTGTGGCCCTGGGATCCACTCAGCCTCAAGCAGAAATGAGTATCAGGAGGAATATTCTTCTTGGGCAGTAAAGGAGGCAGGGCTTGACAACCTCACTGCCATCTGTGAGCTGGTTGTCTAGAAAATGTGGGAGCCTTGACATCTTACAAGCTGTTGCAGGGGCAGCTTTACCTATTTTACCTTTTTACTTACTCAGTTAATGTATTGTAAAAATCTACATTTAAACTAAGACATGACTTGCTCTAAGTAGCAAATTGTTTGTTTTATTTAAATTTAGTGCCAGTTTTTAGGTTGGCAATTACATCATCCATGATATTTTGGAATCTTGATGTACAAGAATACTTGTAACACTTCATGGAAGGTAGTCATTCCTAACTTTGGTGTATGCAGAATGTGCAGTAAGTAAATTGGAGGTGTGTATATTGCAGAGGCGCCGGTCACGGTAGCTGAGCGGTCTAAGGCATGCACTGTCTTCGCTCGCTCGGAAGCCAGGATCGTGGGTTCGAATCCCACTCAGGGCATGGATGTTTGTGTGCATTTTTCTGTGTTTGTCTACAGGTAGAGGCCTTGCGACGAGCTGATCACTTGCCCAAGGAGTCCTACCGAATGTGTAAGATCTATTAAACCGAAGTGAAACGGAGAGTTTCATGGAGGTAGGCCTAGGCCCAAATTGGGGCTGTAGCGGCACATAAAAAAAATATTGCAGAGAGAAATGAGAATGATGTCAAAGAGACATACTAATGAAAGAGAGCAGAATATGGTTTTGTGTCCTCCCCATGTCCTGGGAATAATGATACTGAAAAAATTTACTCAAGATAATTTTGTTCTTCATTCTGGTTCCTGGTTTTTGGAGGCGGAGGAAACCTGTGAAGGCTGTGGGTAACAGTAATATTAGTATTGAAAAATATGCAACACTCAGCCAGTTAGGCCCATGAGTGAAACATCACAGTAGTGCAATATGGGCACAGCAGCAGATTTTATCCGCAGGATAGCGGTCAGCTCTGTGTAGGCATAATTGTGTTAAAGTAACACAGGCAATAGAGTGTAATTAGTGGAATCTGTAAACTTTCAGACTCCACTCATGGATGGAAAAAGCAGCACAGGACCAGATGTAGCTGGGACACCACTTGAGTCATCTCTGAACACTAACAAAAGTGTCCCAAGAGGACTCCTGTATCGAGAATTGGGTTTTAAGCAGAAGTGCAGCAGTGTGTCCCTTGAATTCCAAAGAGCTGCTGAAGACAGACTGGTCCTTAAGTATCATGAAGAGCTGGTATGTGTTCATGTGTTAGGATCTGTGCTTTGTTTGCTTGTATGTGTTGAGATTAGTTATGAAAGTTGGGGTTTCAGAATTGTAATTGTTGATTTCTGTTACAGCCTTGTGAACTGCCAGAAGTTCCTAGGTCCACATTCCTTATGGTTTTCAGCCCAGATGGGTATGTGTGATGAACTGGAGTTTACAATTATGTATTGTTCCTTTCTTTGTAATTGTACCACTAGAAAGCAGTATTCATTCTAGCTCTCGGGATATGGTTGCTTTCCTTGTCAGTATCACAGTATATAGTGGCTAAAAATTTAAAGAAGGAATAACAGTCATTCAGTTCAAGAAAAGTTTACCAATATAATTAAAAATGATGGAAATGAGGATTTGAATTGTATACAGAAACTACCTCGACACTTGCGTATCGCCTTGACAGTCATGGCTACCATACATATTGGCAGGAATACTGGGTAAATTTCATATCAAAGTATTCCCTGTTGGTTATGTACTAGGAAACAGCCACATTAGTGCATACATTAAAAATGAAGCATTTTAACTTTCTTACGACCTGAACCTTAAAATGATCTATAAATTGTTGTTCCCAGCATCATGTATGAGAATATTAATTAATATTCACGTTTTCAGTGATAGCTGTTGGATAGTAAATTGTTTGATGTTGCATTGGTTTGTACAGTATATCGACGGTTGCATTTCACATTGGATAGATACTGTTTCTCAAGTCATTCTTGACATGAAATAATTTAAGAAAAAAGTATTTGTGAAATAATAGGATAAAATGGCTGGGGGTACAGTCTGTCATAAGAAGGTTAGAAATCATCTCCTTCTCCACCACCACCACCATCATCACAACCACCGCCGCCACCAGCACTATCATCATCTCCATTACCATCTACGTTATCATCAGTCATCTTCTCTTTTTCTTCTTTTATCAGTTGTCATTTTATACATGTTAATACACAGAAAGTCTAAAACAATTTTTTTTCAACCTTCCTATTCAGTTCTGGGGCACACGGTAGAGTAGTTGGTTGAGACATTATGCTGCAAGCAGGAAGGCTGCTGGTTCGAGTCCCAGTGAGGTGGATTTTTTTGATTGACCCAAGCCTTCCAGCCGCATTGTGTCCCTGGGGTTCACTCAGCCTCTAACATAAATGAGTACCAGGAATCTTCATGGGGGTTAAAGGGTGGCCGTCACGTAAGGCTGACAACCTTACTGTCATCTGTGAGCCGATTGTCTAGATAAAGTGAGAGTGTCAGCATCTCACAACCCTATGGGCCTCCATGGCCTGTTACAAAGATAGCTTTACCTTTACCTTACTTGTTCAGTTTCCTCTTAGCTCAGATGTATGTCCTTTATTTTTATTCTAATGCCCTTCTCAGTATTGTTCAAAGTTTGACGTGCATGCCAAATTCCTCTAACTTCTTTTTGAGTTGTAAAAATGAACAGTTTGAGTGAAAATCATTGCATGAACACTTCAGATCAGTTTTTATTTTAGTATTATAGTGTTATTTGATTTTTCTTGATCTATCGCAACAGGGAACACTGAGAAATAGCTCATTTATTATGTACACATGAGAAGGATGTCTAAGTTGCCGAGTAAATTTCAGTGAAGATTATTATGGTGCTTACTAAAAAAATGTGTTGATTAAAGTTATTTTTTATCGGAAGATAATTGACAGATTATTTATACTTCCTAAAATTCTGGGTCTGTAATTCATCCATATTTGACAACTTTACATGAAATGAAAAATGTTGAGTGAAGAGATTTTCATGTTACAGTTATGAATTAGATTAAACATAGCACTGAGACATCCTGATAGAATCCAAGCAGTCTGATACTTTCAAATGATGAGAATTGGCTGAGGTACTGTGTTTCCTGCAAACAAGAACACTTATGTCAAGTAACACTTCGAAGCAGAGGAGTAAAATTATATCATACAGAAAAATGTATTGCATATGAAATGTGTGTTTTATTTTGCTCTACGGTTCTTGTTTGAAAAAAATTCCTGTCCATTAAATATTTAGGGGGATATTCTGGATCGATTGATCTGGATTAGGATAAGGATCAGTGGAGTGCTTATGTAAACACAGTAATGAACCTTGGGGTTCCATAAATTGCTGGAAAGTTTTTGAATAATTGCACAAGTGACGGTTTATCAAGAAGTTAGTTAGTTAGTTAGTTAGTTAGTTAGTGGGTGAGGTATGTGCAGAAAAGTGTGTAGGTCTTTGTGTGAAGTCATGATTGAACTTGTGCAATATAATGAAAATTTAAATAGTTCAACAATTTTGTGCACAGTTCTCTAGTATCAAATTCCATGAAAATAATTAAACTCTTCCTGAATTGTTTTGTGTATACGGACAAGTGGATAAACTCAGCAAAATTGTCAGTCATTCTATAGGGTTGCGAATTTGTCTGAAGAGAACAGGAGTTCCATTTGAATTATATGAAATGTAAGGTTTTGATAGCAGTTAATATTAAACCGAGGTCTTCTGGACTGTTTAGTCTGGTAGATGGTTATGAACATTTTTGAGGAACTTGAAACACTGCACAAGATAGCAGCACACATGACCCCACTCTCCCGTATATAAAACAGAACCAGTACCACAACGCTATCATCACTTCACACTGCAACAGGCATACCAAAAAAAAATACATGTTGCATAGAAAGGAGGAGGATCTACATTGACTTAATTTATAAAAATATTAAAAATGCGATAACATTGATGGCAGCAGTGGAGAAGGCACAGTAGTTCCCCTGATGATGGCCAGGTAGGTCAAAATATGTAGTGCAGTGACAAATTTTAGAAAAGGAGTTAATTTTAAATTCTTATATAGTTTTGTGGTAGATGGTTAACAAAATTGAACATTTCTGAGGAACATATGTGAGGCCACCATCTTAAAGTAAAAAGTTGTACCCTGAGGATGGAGGCAGCAGGTTCCTCCAAAACATTGGTAACCATCTTCTGGACTGTGACAGTGTTATATAATATTCACTCTGTTAATTTTGGTGTACATTACACATTCTCAGTCTGTTCCAGATAGTTTACCTGTGGTTCACTGGCATTCAGTAAATTGGTTCAAAGAATATGCATGTGTATGAAAGAACTTTTTATGTTTTTGTGTCATAGCACAAAAGTGGCCTCAACACATGGAAATCATAACATTCACGTGACGGATCTAAATACAGGGAAGAATGTGAACACATTATCAGGTCATCCACGAACGCCGTGGTGTATTGCTTTCCATCCTTCTTCCAATCAGATCCTAGCATCAGGCTGCCTTGGGGGTCAAGTGAGAGTCTGGGATCTCCATGTAAGTACTCTCCTAAATTTTGCAACCTGTGGTGATTCTATGCGAATATCGTTGTCCATCATCATCAGTTTCTTCATACACAACATTTCAGAAACTGGATCTGTTTGCTTTGGTATCTGGATGGGTGGGGAGGTGGCCTGCTCTGATTTCAGATGTTTCTAGTTTGTGACTTCCAGCCTATAGGAGAACCCCACCAATCACATTGGCCACATGGTTTAAGGCATGAACTGTCTTTAAAGGCTGGGGTTGTGGGTTCAAACCCCTCTGAAACCACGGGTGTTTGTGTGTATTTATTCTGTGTTTTTGCTGTCCTGTATGTAAGAAATGGCCTTGTAACAGGCTTATCCCCCAACCAAGGAGTCCGATCAACTGTGCACAAGGATTATGAAACTGAGAAAGTGGCCAGGGCCCAACAAAGGCTTTAGAACCATTGTTGAATGAATGACTAGGAGGATATTACTTCCCGTTTCGTGTGATTTCTTATGTAGTCTTTTTTAATTGGTGGTGTTTCTGTTCTTATCTCGTGCTGATGCTATTTGATGTTTATGTAATATATTCTGTGCTTATACTTGTCCAGTGATTGATACTCAAGGGCACAGCTGAGTAGGAACTGTTCCGTCCTTACACTTGATGACTGAAGCAGATTCAGCTTCTGTGGAATATTGTGCTTGAAAAAACTCATGAGAATGGACAACGCCCAGAATTATGGCTGCATTCATACTCATTCCCTGCTGTGTTTTAAATATTTTGTACGAGATCATTAAGTTTACATTAGGTTGCAACCAGTCTCAGGGGCATGTAGATCAGTTTGCTGTTAGCCATGTATGAGACAGGGTGAGCATGGTGGCAAGACGTATGGAAATGATGGTTCACAAAGAACTTGCTGAGACTAAGTAGATGCTATGGAAGGGAGGCCCATGGCTGGTGGTGAGAAGGGGTCTTGAGACTTCCCAATTTTGTGTCAGTCTACTTGGCATATATGCTAGTGAAGATTGTTTCTGTGAACAGAATGGCTAGGTGACTGGAGGGGAACAGCTAGAGTGAGGAAGTTCAGATTGATCCATGGGACATCATTCTGCAGCCTCATTGTGGGTAAATTGTGCTAGCCACCCAGAAATCTGGTGGTGGGAGAGTGAAACATCTGTTATGCTGCTATTACATGTGTAAATTTTATGTTAACCCCTGAATTGCATCATAATAGAACTACCTGCTAGGTGTTCAGGGTTGCTTGGGCGTAAACGCAGTTTAATGGAAAAGCCTGTAATGCTTCCTCAGATTACCTTAAAATGACAACAGGTATATGTAGCGTGAAGACCTGTTCCTTCCTCTCAACATCAGTATATCACAGTTGGTAGGTACAATGTATTGATAGAAATGCTGTAGTGAGTGATTACCAGGGCCCGGATTTTGATGACATGTCTGTTTTTCCTTTTATCCTGTGTGATGCCCATAAATATATAAATCCCAGAGATGAGCTGCTGGTTACAGAAATGTAAGTTTTATAGGTACGTTTTTGTAATTTTTCGTCATTTTTCAGTTTTTAGGTCATTTTTTTCGGTTTTGGGCTAATTTCTCGGTAAGTTTTTGGGCCTTTAAGGGTATTTCTTTTTGTCATTTTAGCCATTTTAGGGAATTTTTCTTCACATGTTTTCAAAAATGTGAATAACATGCAAGTAAAGTTCTCTTTCACTTTCTCCTGCCTCTACAAAGGCAGCTACAGCTGTACCCCAAGTACCTGCTACCACACTGTGCAATAATAAGTTGTAATAATGTCCCGTCCTTTCCGTTCGTTTTGCGGGAAGTGCTCACATTACATATCATAAAACATTTTAAGCCCTTTCCAAGTTCTGTGCAAAGGAATTTGCTTAGTTACCAATATTTCTATTTGGAGTCCCTCGCTTTTTATGATATATTGTTGCTCAATAAAACTCTGTCTTCAGTTTCTCGCCCTTGACTGTACAGACAAAGATACAGTTGACGAAAGGTTCTCAGTGTGAAAAGTTCAGTTCTGTGTTGCACTAGAGTGATTCATTTTATCACGATGCCTAAAGCAGAGCCCTCTAAATCATATAATTTAAAGCAGATTGTAGCTGAATTTGGAGGTGATATATTTTCAACAGATGGTAACGTTTTATACTGTAAGATGTGTGACACAAAATTAGTGCAGAAAAAAGATTCGCGTTACAACAACATATCGGCCACAACAAGCATATACAAACAGTACAAATTTTGAACAAAAAAAGTCTGTGCAGATGTTACTGCAACAGTATTAATCTGAAGGCAGAAATAAGTCGTCAGATTTTTTCACAGGTCTGTGTGATGCTCTGAACAATGAAAAACTGAAAATTTTTCTGGAAGTGAATTGTGGTCGTTCTATCCTGGATGAATCCACACTCAGGAAAAGCTACCTTTCCCAGTGCTACAACAATATCCTGGAAATGATTAGGAATAAAGATTTTTATTTCCATTGATGAGACCTGTAATACGGAGGCTCGCTATGTGGCAAATGTCATCTTTGGAACATTAGAAATTGATGGACCAAGTGAAGTGTTTCTGCTTACAAGTGAGGTGCTAGCATCTCTTATTATTATTTTTTATTATTATTGCTAGTGGGGTGGGACTAAGTCCCTTGTACTGCGGCCACTTCTGGCATATTGTACCAGCCCTGGATGATAGGTGAGGGTGATTGTGGAGCAATTGGTGGAATGAAAATTGGCAGGGGAAACCGAAGTACTCGGAGAAAACCAGCCCCAACGCCACTTTGTCCACCACAAATTCCACTTGACCAGACCTGGAATCGAACCTGGGCCACCGTGGTGGGAAGCCAGCAACTAACTGCTTGAATTATGGCACGGCCGGTTAGCATCTGTTAATCATTCCACAATTTGTAAACTCTTTGACAGGTCGATGATTTTACTGTGGCCAGAGGGTATATGGCACGACGTCGTCTTGCTTTTTTGTGACCGATGTAGCCCCATATATTTTAAAAGCGGGCAAGTCAATAAAGTCGTTTTATACAGAATTTGGTGCACATTACTTGCCTAGCACATGCACTGCATAGAGTGGCAGAGGAAGTGAGATCAAGATTTCCTCAAGTGGATGCTGTTGTGTCGTGGATGAAGAAGATTTTCGTCAAGGCTCCAGTTTAAGTCTGTGACTCCTGGCGTTCCACTGCCCCCGGAACCTGTCATCACATGGTGGGAATGTGGATTGCAATTTACTGTTGCGATTATTTTCAGGTAGTGTAAAACATTGCATATTCAGTGAAGATGGAGAATGTGATGGCATTTGAAGCTGCTCAAGAATAGTTCTTGTGCAGTGAAATGGAAGGACAGCTGGCCTTCATAAAGACAAATTTCAGTTCCTTGACAGAAGGAATCAAATGCTTACAGGAGAAAGGATCAACTCCAGAAGATTTGCTTGCTCTGGTGAAAAAAAGAAAGCCAGTGATTTGGAGAAAGTGTCAGGGGACATTGGTAAAATTGTGTCAAGAAAAATGAAACATGTTCTAGATAAAAACTCAGGTAATGAAACATCATGCAGCATTTCTTGAATTCTGACAGGATAGTCCTTCAGCACTTTCAATATTGAAGAGGAACTTACTGGTAGTGACTTAGTACACTTCAAGTGCGCTCCCATTGCGTCTGCAGATGTGGAGAGGAGTTTCTCCAAGTACAAGAATGTGCTGTCAGACAATAGGCGTTCCACTCACCTTCAAGAATATCTGCATATTGACTGTGATCTATTGCAACTCTGAATGAGGTGACCCTTAAATGTTGGTATATATGCCGTATATGTACTTTTGGTAATCGTTCCAACATGGTAGAAAAATTTGTATTAAAACATGTAGCATCAGATTCAATCATATATTGCTTAATTTTCAACATAAGAATGAGGATGGACTTAAAAGAGTAACATTGAATTCACATTGTTAATAAAGATTAGAAATACATTTTAAAACAATTAGTAGATTTTCCATGACATGATACATTTTAGGTAGTTTTTTAACTTTTAGATAATTTTTCTGGATATTTCGGTCATTTTATAGGTAATTTTTCTGATTTTTTTTGTCATTTTAAAATATTTTTAGGTCATCAAAATCTGGCCCTGTTGATTAGTATCAACCTGAATTGGCTGGCTGTGACAGTTTCAACATAAGGGTGCTGAGCCAAACTTTGGCATCTGGTTTGCAGAAGGTCAAGGAATAGTTGACATTTGCAACAGAAGTGTGTTGGTACTGTTTCTGCTTCCTGATGCCAGTGTCTGATCACCCCTCCTTCCTGAAGTGTGAAGCAGTCGGACTGTATCGTCATGCCACTGCACATGATAGAAAGCACCACAATTGGACCAGTTTTGAGTGATCCCACTCTGTTGCCCTGGGATCTAGCACACTGAAAGTCTTGTTTGCGTTGGCTGCATCCATGCTTCATGGTATGGAGGTCCTGGGCCCGAGATTCAGAGACCAGCTGTCATGACCAGTTTCTTGTGGGGGTTTTCTAAATGTAGTCATCCTACCATCTGGTGCTATACAGCCTGAGATACTATTTTGTGCAGAATGTATTTTGGACATTGCAGGGTGGTAGTGAAATATGGACAGCAGAAAGTCAGACCGTGATTGCATCTCTGGCATTCCATCCCACTGATCGAATGCTGGTGATTGCGACCTACAATGAACTACATTTCTGGGACTGGAGTCAACCAATTCCATTCACAAAGTGTTACACCTCAAATCAAAGGGAGAAAGTTAGGTAATTTGCTTTTTGCAGAATTAAAACATGTATTGTTAATTAACACATTGCGGACCAGTGGTTTAAACATTTAAATCACCCTGGGGACCGGCGTTTTTAAACCTACTACCCTAACTTGTGCACTGTTCACTTTAAAAATTAATATAAAATCTCCTAATTAATTTTATGAACTGAAATTTTTGGAGAACACTTACCAGAGCTCCTAGAAGTGCTTGCACATGTGATATCTCTGGAAACATTCCCCTTTGTGAAGAGGCATTACGCAGAAGTTGCACATGTAGGCAGTTCTACTCTTCTTCTTGTGCTCTGTGCGCACATGGCACGGCCTAGAAGGGTGTTTCTTCTTGCAATATTCACTCTTCACAATTTTCACGAGAATATGGTTCCACATATCACCCGAGAGTCCNGCCCCATTAGAATGATTATAGGCAACAATTTTTTCATTTCTGTTGAAGTGACATCCACCCACTTCAAAACCTTATTGGTTCTGTTGTACGCCTCACGGTGTTGGAGACAGTATCTGTTAGTTTCCTGACACAACAGGTCAAAGAAACTATCTCCAAAAAACAGTGACACAACTTCAGACACGTCCATTGGGTCTGATGGCATCTGCTTCACCCCCGGATCACCAGTAAACTTTCCCAAAGTGGGGGCTTTGTCCACTTTATCCCATGTAGCTGTCCCGACACTCGCACTTTCAACGGAGCTTTCACTTTCACTTGACACATTTTGGGCAGCCCTGTGGCCCCTGTCACTGTCACTGTCACTGATAATGGCCTTGCTATCAGAAGACGAAGCAGTTGGCAAATCTGATAGCTCATCGGAGAATATATCTAATATTTCCTGTCCTCCGAGAGATCGCAACTGCTTTCGTCTCTGAGCCATGTTGAACTGGTAGCTGCGTGGTTCATACGTGCAAGCTTGGATTAGAACAAAGCCAATTTTGTTTAGGTCGTGACAGGAAATGACTCTGGTCGAGTTACTAGATAAGGCAGCAATCATTCCCGAGGTCATCTATGCAGTAGTTACGATTCAACGAAGCCACACAGCAATATATAGCGTTTTGCAACATAACGTGACCGTAGAGGGCCACATGGCCCGACCGGTCCGCAACGCTTGGAAACGTAGAGGGCCATGTGGCCCCTCCGGTCCGCAATGTGTTAAATATTGAGTTTATGTGTCACTAAAACTGATTCACTTAGAATTTCACCTTTTCAGAACATTCTTCTTTCCCAATTGAAAGTGTTTCTGAGAGTATTATATAATTCATTTATTACAAAATTGAATTATTACAAAATGAAATTTATATTTGAAACATTGCCAATTTGTCATCAAGCAGTGCACTTCTGTAGCAACATGTACAGACACTGAAAGACCATAGGTTAGCCACTAGTGGGACTCCAGTTATTTGTGAATTATAAAATTAGCAAGGTATGCAGGTATTTTGTTGTGTTTGATTTTTGCGGTGTAGAGGTATCCTGCAACTTAGTGATAAGCAGTGTTTGCATAATTTGACATTTTTGTTATTTGTCTGGTTTCTCTGTCTTCAGTTTCCATTAAATGGGAAAAAAAAAAATCAAACAAGTCTGGTGTTTAAAAGTTAAATTCACATGCATCTGTCCACTGTTAGGTGGCAGTGCTTACTCACATTGGTGAGAAGTTGAAACTACATGCAAACTGAAGAAACTCTTCCCTGTTATTGCACACACTAAAAGCAAATTAAAGTATAGGGTGTTGCATTCAAACCTCCCACATTTTATCAGATCATAGAACAGAAAGTATGAATGGTAGGAAAATGAAGCTACAGGAAATACAAGAACAACTCAAAAAATTTTATTTGACACACTAATAAACCTCTACATGTGCACCATTGGTAGTATGAACAACATCCAATCCATATTCAGTTTCTTGCCACGTTCTTTCCAACATGACCATTGGTACAGTAGCAATCGTTTCACAGATGCGGGCTTGTAAATCTGGGAGGTCATTCAATGGAGGCACGAACACATGGTCCTTCATGTAACCCCAGAGGTAGAAATCTAGGGGAGTGAGGTCCAGTGAACATGGTGGCCACCGAATTGGTCCGCCATGTCCAATTCAGCGATCTTGGAAGGTGGCATTGAGTGACCTCCAAACATTGAGACCCCAATGTATGGGGGCTCCATCTTGTTGGAAGATTATATTAGGCTGCAGATTGGCTACCTGGGGATACAGGAACTGTTCTAACATGTCAAGGTATACACATCCAGATACTGTAGCTTCATTCAAAGAAAAACGGAAATAAAATTCTTTGAGTTTTTCTTTCATCTAGTGTCAGTTATAATCTACAATTTATCACAATTTATTCGCAATGATTGATTAAAATGTGGGAGGTTTGAACGGAACGCATTGTATATGTAGATTGTTTTATGTATGCTTCAGGATTATATTATCACATATTCGGGGTTCTGTTACCAGTAGTAATGGGTTCCGGATTGGATGATTAGTTTTATTGACACTTATACATTTACACAGTTTGGGACTACAGCACTATTGCTATTTTACACACTTTCAGTTCACCGTTGCACACGCACTAGGATTTTCAGTCTTCACCAGTCGTATCCTGGCAGTGGATTTTTCAGTCATGATCAGTTCAACTCGCACATGACATCTTGGCACAGTCTGATTATTTTCTTGCCCATTCCAAAGGCTTGACCCACTTATCTTCCGACTACTGTTCTGTACTCTACAGCTTCTGAATTCTAATTCCAAAGCTCTCTAATCTCAATAGCTACAAACAGACTCTTGTTGCATAGCCTCGGGTCAAACCCCATAGAAAACACTGTCTTCTCTTGTTGAGTATTGTTGTATTACCTAGCAACGCGTTGTAGCATGGTCCACAAGGAACACAGCTCATATTGTTGCATGTTCGCTGGAACATGTATACTGAGTCGTTGCCTAACAGTGGGTCAATACGTCACAATATTTTAATGAAGCACTACATTAAAAGAATAAATTAAATACCTGGTGTGTTCAGAAAGTATCGAACCTTTAGTCGGCAGAAATACATTTATTGATTTAGAGGTACAAAACCCTAATCCCCTTCAAAGTAGTCTCCTTGGTAATGCACACACTTCTCCCAGTGCTTCCGCCATTGTTGGAAACACATCTGGAATGCGTCTTTTGGAATGGTGATCAGCCGGGCCGTCGCATTCCGCATGATGTCTTCTCTTGACTCAAATCGGGTTCCTTTCAGCGACTTTTTCAGCTTGGGAAATAGCCAAAAGTCACACAGAGCCATGTCGGGGGAGTAGGGAGCCTGACGAACCACAGTGATGTTGTGTTTGGCGACGAAAGTCTGAATCGGATGTGCAGTTTCGGTATGAATTTTGCAGATACTCTCCTCATGCCCAAATCCTCGGTCAAAATTGAATGTACCGATCCAATGCTTACCCCTATCTCATTTGCAAGTTCTCGGACTGTGATACGACGGTCCTCCATGACCAAAGTCTGCACTTGCTCAATGACATTCTCATTTCGGCTTGTTGAGTGTCTGCCTGAACGCAGTTCTCTGTCCACTGATGTGCAGCCATTTTTGAAGCGGTTGTACCACTCCTTTATCCGTGAATTGATCATGGCATCATCCCCAAAAGCCTGTTGTATCTTGCGAATGGTTTCCACTTGGGTATCGCCAAGCTTTTGGCAAAATTTGATGCAATATCGCTGCTCATGTTGTTCCGTCATTTTACGCCTTACTGGAATCCGACGAGCGCTTACTGCACGTCCTCACTCATAGGCCAACTGCCAGCGACTGATGCTTTCTGTGGGCGGGAAAAAATTCACGACTGCGCATGAATGTCCCCTCCACATCTCCACCGAAGGGAGCCTCCCACGCTTCATTGGTTTACGCAGGAAAAAAGAAGGTTCAATACTTTTTGAACACACCATGTAGATGTTGTGTATTTCTTGACTGCAATTATGTTCAGGATACCATGATTGATTAGTGAACATGTGAGTTTGAAAATGTACTCACAACAGCACTTTTGTTTATTTAGCTTGAAAACTTTAAGCCTTTCTGAGGAGGTATACTACTGGGCATAAAATGTTTCCATACAGCTTTTATTTAAAATATTTTCCCTCCAGCTGAAAACATGCAGGTCTTTGTATAGAGTGGTCGTTGAAGTACTTGTCTGACATGAAGGTTCCAATGGCTTCACAATTTTTAAAAAAAATTGACAATATAAAATTTATTTGAATTCATCCACCAGTTTTTGAGTTCTGTGCATGGTCTTGGACTGAGTGAGCTTAATAGACACTGCAGGATTCACATGCGCGCGCCCACACACACACACACACACACACACACGTGCATGTCAATGAGAGTCACAAAGCAGGCACTGACATGATGATAGCAATGTGTCACATACTTTTGGACATCAGTTATGATTTATATGTTTGCCTGGGGGCGGTGGGGGGTGGTCATCTTACGTTCTGTGATATCTTTCATTTTGGTTAATGTGGTGTATATATTATGACTGAAATTTTATGTAAGTGCATTTCCAGTAAATGTCTTTCCATTAGGTATGTGGCATTTGATCCTCTCGGACATAAACTCATCACAGGAATCTCTAATGCACCCCACAACCAAAGCCAGTGGGATCGGGTTGCGAACCCATCTCGTCGGGAGTCAAGCCTTGCATCTACATCTCATAGTTCTCATCCTCGTTCAGTTATGCCAGCAGACCAGGAACGTCGTATCACTGTATGCTACCGTTCACTTGTAGAACAGTATGAACAGCTAGTCCAACGGTACTATGATCTCTCACGCTCCAGAACTCCAACGGTGTGTATATAGTATCAAATCTTAATGTCCATTCAAGGTACCGATTTCTTGGTTTTCAGACATAATAATAGTTTGTGAATAACCAGAGAATTCAGTTCATTCCCCAGCACGAATAGAGGTTTTTTTCTTTTCTCCACAGCATCCAACAAGTTCCTTTTTATTTCAGTATATACTGTAAAGGGTGCTGTGTTTCTGTAAAAAATCATGCAGTATTAATAAATGTGAGATGAATGTGAGCATCTTCAAAGATGAGCACTTGACTCATAAGGTGCAAAGAACATGCTCCTAGCACCTACCAGAATTCATGGTAGTGCTTGAACCCACACGATTACAATAAGACACTTGCCTGTGCTGCTAAGGCTGCAGTGTTCATTGTTTATTATACGGTTGGTGTGCTGACCTTATGTAATTACCCAGTTCTGGTATGTCTCCCAAAAGTATATTGCACCTGTATGAGTATTTTGCTATTTACTCTTATCTCAGATGGATCGAGGCACGGACCCCATGGATCTGTCTGAGTCAGCACAGCCAGCCCCCCAGTCTGGAACATCTGGGGCACAGTCACAGTCTCCTCAAGCTGTACGTATTCATGTACGAGGCATGAGATTCCTTATGCGTGATGACAGCAGTAGTAGTAATGAGGACAGCGCTTCAAGAAGAGCAACTGGTGGTACGCGACTTCGCCGTTTTCCAGCCGTAAATCTGGACAGCGTCAGCAATATGTTGCGAAGACGTGCACGGCAAACTGCTGCAGCGTTGGGCACAGTGGATTCAGTATCTGAACATGACAACACCGAGCACAGGACAGAGCGTCATGACTTTGCACAGTCAGCCTCAACTCCAACAAGAAGGTTTGAATTTGACAATGTTAACATAGAAGGACCTGAAATGCTGCAGGAGTCTGGTGAGCAAGGCTTCAATCAAGAGCATAATAGTGTATCCCATGCATCTGACATGCAGCAGCATCTGTATTCTGCTGCTGATTCTGCAAGGAGGAGGAGAAGAAGAAGAAGAAGCTTGGATGGAGAGAGGCAGATTACACCAAACAGCATAACAAGGGATGTGAGTGTAGGTGCCAGATGTAACATAGACCAGACCCTTGCTACCCACGCAGACATGAGTGTAGGCTCCACAGCTAACAGTGAGGCTAGACCTTTACCTTGTTAGGGATGTAAGTGTATGCCCCACAGCTAACATAGTCAGGCTAGACCTGCTCTGCCTTGTTAGGGATGTGAGTATGCCCCACAGCTAACATAGTGAGGCTAGACCTTTACCTTGTTAGGGATGTACGAGGGGGCACCCAAAAGAAACCGAACTAAATTTTTTTTAAACTTATTTATTCAAATTTTAAGCACAAACCTTCAATCCCCTTCAAAGTACTCTCCACTTACACTAATACACTTGTCTAGTCTTTTATTCCATTTTTCAAAACATTGTCTAAATTCATCTTTTGAGATGCTTGACAGCGCCTCCGTCGTTTTTTCCTTTCATGTCTCTTTTCATTCGAGGAAACAAAAAAAAAGTTGCACGGGCCAAGGTCGGGTGAGTATGGAGGGTGAGGAACAGGGGTCATACCATTTTTGGTCAAGAATTGTCGTACAGACAGGGCTGTGTGAGCAGGGGCATTGTCATGATGGAAAAACCAGTCACCCAATTGCCACAAATCTGGCCGCTGAGCTCCAAGTCACTCCCGACAGCTCCACAATTTCTTCAATGGTCCATCGTCGATCGTCCTTGATGATTTCACGAATTTTTTCAACATTTTCATGTTTTGGGGCCGTGGAAGGACGACCAGAACGAGGTTTGTCATCAATTGACATTTCACCATTTTTGAAACGGGAAAACCACTCAGACACTTGAGTTTTCCCCATAGCATCGTCCTTGTACGCCATTTTTAACATTTCAAGAGTTTCTATTCCACTTTTCCCGAGCAAAAAGCAGAATTTCACCGCCACACGCTGTTCACAAAAATCAGCCATTGAAAGAACGACAATCACGCAAAACAGTTGTCACTATAAACTGCCGAAACTAGTCCTTACCTTCTGAAGCAACCGTAGTCGGCTTATTGACTCAGGAATGTTACTCTATGCGCTCATAGTGGCAAAACGCGGTACTAGAAAAGCTCTGCCCACAAAAAAATTAGTTTGGTTTCTTTTGGGTACCCCATCATAAGTGTAGGTCCCACAGCTAACATAGTCAGGCTAGATCCACTCTACCTTGTTAGGGATGTCAGTGTGCCCCACAGCTAACTTAGTGAGGCTAGACCTTGTTAGGGACATGAGTGTAGGCCCTGCAGCTAACATAGAATACCAGTAATACATGTATGAAGTGTGTCACATTTAACTTTTAGTCTTATGCAGTGGATCATAAGTGCATTATCTTAATATCTTCTTATAAGTTCCACTGTTTTAATGTTATGACATACTTTTCATATTTAGTGAAGGTGGGTTTTGATTGGGATTCATAGGGCTCCAGTTCCTCTACCTGCCTGTTTGCTTCCTGTAAAGAGTTGCCTTACCAAGATTTGCCTGTTTCAGAATTTTTCAGAATGGTAACCCTCAAAGGTGACTAGAGATTGCTGTGGTATTCAGGTGAATAATGACACTAGTATGCCAAAACAAATACTGTTATTTTCATTCTGAATACTTTTGAAATTAACTGGAGATACATGGGGAAATCATAAAATTTTAATTATCACCCAGAAGAGACAGAGACACAGGTATGTGAGTTAGTCCTCCTCTACATATGTGCCCTGCGAGGCCACACATTTTTCCCAACGATGCATTAGCTGCTGGATACCTTGATCATAGAAAGTCTCAGTTTGACTGTTTAGGACGTACTCCACTGCAGAAATGATGTCATCATCATCTTGGAATCGCTTACCACTAAGTGGCTTCTTTAGCTGTGGTAAGAGGAAGAAGTCGCTTGGTGCCAGGTCTGGTGCATATAGTGGAGGGGGGAGAATTTGATATCCCAAACTGGTAGCAAGTGTCATCATAGTATGAGCTGGTGTGTTGTCATGAAGAACTCACCTTTTCCCAGCATTCTGTGTCTCTTTTTCTTGAGTTCCTCCAGTAATTTTTTCAGAAGGTTCCTGTAGTACTTGCCAGTGATGGTGATGCAATTTTACATATAGTTGGTCATGATGACACCCCGCCAATCCCAGAACACATTCAGCATCGCCTTCCTGATGATGGCTGGGATTTGGTCTTTGGTGGTGGCGAGTCTGTAAGTTTCCACTGTTTGCTCATTTCCTTTATTTCAGGGTCATAATGATACACCCAACATACATCCATCGTGATGAGGCAGTCAAAAAATTCCACCTTTTCTTCTTGATACAACTGCGAAAGTTTCTTTGCCACATCCATCTGTTGTTGTTTTTGAACTGGTGTCAACAATTGTGGCACCCAGCGCACCGCGACCTTTGTCATGTGTAACTCGTCATGGATCATGTTGAAAACGGACCCATGGCTAATGCGGACCTCATGAACAATAGCTTCGATAGTTATGTGCCTATCGGATAGGATCAAAGCTTCCACCTGTGCCATAATTCCTAGTTCCTCAGCGAGAGATGGTCTTCCACTCCAAGGTTCATCTTCAAGGTTTGTCTGTCCACAATGAAAGCGCCTCTTCTACCTTACCACTCTGTCATATGATGTTACACCTTTCTGATACACAGCGGTCATCCAGTCGTGGATCTCCCTGGCAGACTTCCTTTGCAAATGCAGGAACTGTATCACAGTGCAAACCACCGCTGTCTAAAATGACATTGCCATTTTGCTTTTGCCCCTTTCGGTGGCTCTCTCTGTCCACTTGGCATGGGAAAATTTCACTGTTCGGCAAGCTCAGGAAATCTATATAGAACGATATTTTGGAATTATGATTTTCTTATGGTGATAATTAAAACATTATGACTTCCCACTGTATACATGGATATAATTGATCAAAGTTTGTCTGTCCTCTGAGCCTCATGGCTATATGAATAACTACCAACCTCCTTACTACAAGGACAAATTGCAAAGTCTTTGCCCCTATTTTTTTTCAGCCACAATAATACACATACAGGGAAATCAAAATACAGGCAGTGTTCTAAGTACCTTTGACTATTTTTCCATATAGTCACCACCCCGGTTCAGGCATTTGTCCCATCGCACCACTAGTTTGGAGATGCCGCTGTTGTCGAATTTGGCCGGTTGAGCGCGGAACCACCGCTGGACAGTGGTTTTCGTATCGTCATCGGAAATGAACCTGTGGCCTGCCAGGAACTTCAGTGGACTGAACATGTGGTAATCACTGGGGACGAGGTCTGGACTATACAGTGAATGCTTCATAATCTCTCATCCGAATGACTGCAGTTGGGTGGCGGTCCTGTTTGCCACATGAGGACTGGAGTCATGGAGGAGAACCACATCATCCATGAGAATCCCTGGGCACTTTTTCCTGATGGCAGCTGACAGATGTGCAAGTGTGCCACAGTAGCTGTCCACGTTGATGGTGGCACCTTGTGGCATGAAATCCAGCAGGAGTGGTCCTCGGTGATCCCAGAAGACCGTGACCATCAACTTCCCAATGGATGGCATTCTGCGGAATTTCTTCGTGACAGACGAATCAGGATGTTTCCACACCATGCTCTGCTGCTTGGATTCTGGAGTGAAATGCAATACCCATGTTTCATCACTGGTGACAATGAGATCCAGGAACCTTTCACGTCATCATTCTCTTGGCCTTGTTCAGATCATTCAACAGCTTAGGCACCCACCGACATGAAACCTTGCAATACCCCAAGGAATCATGAATGATATCGTAAACACTGCCATACGAAATGCCAAGCTCCTTGGTAATGGCCTTCAGGTGCACCCACTGATCCGCTTTCACCACTGCATCCACTTGGGCAATGTTGTCCGGTGTGAGTGAGGTGCGAGGCCGCCCCGACCGCTCATTGTCATTAAGGTCTTCCCGGCCATTAGTGAACTCACGACACCACCACCGCACACTTCTCAAAGCGAAACATTTGTCCCCATACGTCGGCTGCATTTCCCTATGGATCTCGATGGGCGTTCATCCCTTGCTCCATAGAAAACGAATAACACTTCGCTGCTCATACGACGTGGACATGTTGAGCACACCAACCATCTTTGCTGACTGACAGCGGCGCAGTGCCGCGGAGCAGCCGAGAGTTAATGCTGGGTCTGTCCAAGCGTACCCTGTTGAATCGAATGTATAACCCAGTTACCCAATCACTAATATTTTGGCTGAAAAAAAATAGGGGTATAGACTTTCCAATTTGCCTTTGTATTAGTGTCAATTAAAGTTATGTGTTTTTCTTTGTGATATGTATCTGTGTTGTCTCCCAGTAGATTCAAATCATCAGCATAGACCAGCAGCTGATGTGTCAGATTTGACTTCAGTCCCATCTGTTTTTCCTGGACCTTTGTAATGACATAAAGCAAGTTAAAAAGCAGTGGCAATAAAGCATATCCTTGTTTTAAACCATTTTTGGTTTGAAAGTAATCAGACAAAATATTAGCTATATGGACTTTACTATATGTTTCGTTTAAACACATTTTAATCAGCCTAAGCAGTTTCATAGGCCTCCCAAACTCTAACAAATATTGTATGAGGGTCATATTGAAAGTCACGAGCAACAATTTTTTGTAAAGTAACATGCTTTATTATTGACAAACCAAATACACCACCTCAATCTACAGACCTTTCTTTATTTTTCAGCATAATCGCTGCTCCTTTGTACACATTTCTCCCAGCATTCTGGGAGTTTGAAAATTCCCCTTCTGTAAAATTCCGTTCCAGCCATCCAAAGACACTTGACGCACTGCTTTCTGAATTGCCTCCTGTCTCAAAACATTGTCCATGCAGCTGATCCTTCACAAATCCAAAAAGATGGTAGTCGGAGGGTGCCAGATCAGGGCTATAGGAGGGGTGTGGAAGAACTTCCCACCCCATCTTTGCCATTGCTTCCAATGTGAGGCGAGCGGCGTGGGGGTGAGCGTTGTCATGCAGGATGATGTTTTGTCCCGGACGTTTATCGTACAATGCACGATGGAGCTTGTGCAGCGTCTGGACATAATGAGCAGCATTGATGGTTTGCCCAGGTTCCAGGAATTCGGCCAGAATAAACCCCTCTGCATCCCAGAAGACTGTGCCCATCACCTTCGCAGCTGATGGCACTGTCTTTGCCTTCTTTTTTGATGGAGAATACAAATGGTGCCATTCCATACTCTGCCGTTTTGTTTCAGGCTCGAAATGGTGAAACCAGCTTTCATCACCTGTCACAACACAGAACAAAAATCATCGCCTTCGTGTCGATATCTCTGCAGTGGTTCTGAGGTGATGGCTTTTCGCTGACCTTTGTGCTCTTCAGTCAATAACTGTGGGACCCAACGAGCACAAACTTTCCTATAGCCCAAGCTTTCAGTCATCTCCTGTACTGCACTGTTCCAAGTTTTCGGGCTGTTCTGTCCACATTCACATGCCTGTCATCTTGAATGATCTCATCCACTCTTTCCTTGTTGCGTTCAGCTGAGGCTGTTCGAGGACGACCGCTCCGAGGCTCATCTTTGATGCTGGTGTTCCCATCTTTAAGTTGTTTCACCCATCTTCGAAGACTGCTCGCACTTATGCACACACTTCCATAAGCACGCTGATGTCTCTGGTGAATTTCTGCTGCAGGGATTTCCTCTTTCACAAGAAATTCGATGACAGCACGCTGTAGAAACGACATCGTTTTCAGCCATTTTGTTAGGAGTGATACTGGTCGTGTGATGCAAGCTATTGATGTCACAAGACACTCAAGGTTAACACAACAGCTGGTTCCACCTACCACCGTACTCTCTTTCGTCTGCTGTTCCCAGGTTGCATGCAAAAAAAGTTGCTTATGACTTTCGGTACGACCTATGTACAATACTTCCCTCCTAACTGAATCATAGGATTTATTGAAATTTACGGATAACTGATATTCTCTCTCATTGTACTCCCATTTTCTTTTCCAGCATCTGGGGAATGCAAAAGATCTAATCAGTAATTAATCTGTTGATGTTAAAACCCACACTGATGATCCCCAATAATTTTGTCTATATATATGCTTGACCTTGAGAGAAGAATATTGGATAAAATTTTATGTGACGTAGATAGCGGTGATATCCCACAATAATTACTACAGTTATGTTTATTGCCCTTCTCGTGAACTGGTACGATAATGTACTCGGATACACAAATATGACCAGTAATAGTAATATCAAGTGCACATATGGTTTAGAGTCTCTTTGTTTAAGATTAGGGCTCTCAGACACAATTTAATTGAGAAATATGCTAAAGCCCCAGATGCCATTCTGTTAGAGCTCTGACCTGCAAAGAAAATGGGATCATGTTGTAATTTCACTCTTCAGCACGCCAAAGCCCATCATACTGATATGTCTGTACTTATCGAAGGGTGCAATTGTTCCATTGAATTTATGACTTGAATGTAATTTGTTTTGCAATTTTTCTGTTTTTCTAGAACCATCCCATTGTAACCGAATCATCCCCTTCATCGGAGCGACTTGGTGTGTTCCCCGGACTCCAGTCTGAAACTGTGCCATCATCCCCTTGTCCACCAGAGAGACCTCACAGGTTCTTTGTTTCCCAGCGTTCTGCTTTCCAACCGAGAATTCCAAGAGGGGATCAACATGCACGTTCTGGATCTGGACTGGCAGCTAGACCACCATCAGGAGTGCAAGCCGCACGGAGCGGTTACTTTCTACACAGACGTCTGAGTGGTGCATACCATTCCCAGAACTTTCAGGATGACACTGAAGAGTCTAGTCAAGGACTTGATAGCACTTCAGATGTGGGTGTGAGGTATGGTATTCAGCTACTCAGTAGACACATTGACAGCATGCAGAGGCTGTGCAGGGCTCGTTTAGAGATACTGCAGCTGCAGCAAATTCGTCGCATGTGGGAAGATTTGCAGCGACAGATCAGGTCCCTGCATGCAGCTGTGAGAGACAGTACGTTCGCTTTAACGGCCAGACAAGACACACCAGTTGGCCCAAACAGGCATCGGTTTAGACTTCATGCTGTGTCAGGTGAGGACTCAGGGCTGGGAATGAGCAGACAGAACTGTCAGAGAAGTGGAGACTCAGAACCGCATGCCACGGAACCTGGACCACATATTCCCAGTGTCAGTCAGATGCTTGAATTGGCTCGCATTAGTGACATAGGTCCTTCCGTTAGCTGTGAACATCCTGCATCAACCAGTGGTGCCAATTTAACGCGTGGACTACCTGTTACCCCAGGTGAACAGGATGTGTTGAATCAGGACAGTGCAAGAAGTGACAGACTTGCTCAGCTCCATGCGCAGTTCAAAGCTTTGACAGCACTTAAACTTGTGACAGCCGAAAGAAACAGTGCGAAGGAAGAGGGTGAATGCTCCAGGAATAAGGAGGATATCACATCAAGAAAGATTAGTGCTACAAATGGAAGTACTGCTCAGCCTGTCAGTGCTGCTTCTGATAGAGTCGTGGCCTGCGATGGAGAGCCGTCACTTCCACAGAGTATCAAGCCAATTTGCTTTGGTGATCCCAAAGACACTGCTGCAGATGGACCTTCCTCTCGGCCTGATTCGGCAGGAAGGATAGCTGGTATCAGGACTTCAGGTATGGATTGTAAAAGTAATACTCCAAAAACAGAAAATGTCAAAAATTCTCCACGTACTTCTTCTACAAGTGGTGAATGTAATGAGACAGGCTCGCTGTGTAAGAAGAAGCGAGGCCCAATAGAGTCCAAGAGTAGATCTGCTAATGTGGATCTGCTGCATGACATTCAAGCCAGTAGCTCTGTTTCAGCATCTGACCATGACCTGTGTGCAAGTAGTACTGGTGGTACTCCTAGTATTCCAACCATAACCACTACTACCGCTACAACTGCTACGACTGTCACCTCATCATCAGCAATGAACCCAAGTAATTCATCTGTTCCAAATGAATCTCCAGAGGCTACTGGACACCAGGCATCGAACAGCTGGTGTAGGTATGCGGCAGCATCAGCGTCAGCATCTTCTGCAGCCAATTCCCAGCATCAGCGGTTATGGCGTATTACCCACCGAGTTTATATGAGAAAACCGAGGCTTTTGGCTATGGGATTCAGGTCGAGAGCCATTACTCGTCAACCAGGCAGCAACAGTACTTCATCGCATAGGAATTATGCAGCAAGTATTTTCAGGTAAGAAACGTTGGACTCTTTTGCAGAAAATTGTATCTTATCAATTTAATCAACTTACTGTAATAAAAAAATAATAAGTTTTGCATAGTTGGTTGACGCACTATGATACAAGCCTGTATGTCATGGGTTTGACTTCATTTTCACTGGATTTTTCAATTGACCTAATGCTTTCAGCCACACTAAGTCACTGGGGTCAACTCAGCCTCTAACAGAAGTGAGTACCAGGAACCTTCCTGGGGGTAAAGGGCAGCTGGTGTGTAAGGCTGGCAGCCACACCGCCAATTGTGAACCGACTATGTAGAAAGTGTAGGAGCCTGTATGTCTCACAGTTCTATGAGCCTCCACGGCCTGTTACAGGGATACCTTTACTTTTACTTACTATTATAGTGTGTATAATTTAAAATCCTTGCACATGTTAAGTCTAGTCAGTTGTGATGGCACATAGTTTGAGATAGGAATGGGGAAACTGCTGCCCCCATCTTCAGGGTAGAAGTGAGCTACATGTGTGCCACACTGTATGGTGTCACATTTCAGAATATTGTGGTCAGTATTAAGTGCTGGGGAAACTTCACATCTCATATTTGCATAGGCTACCTGTTCACTGTCTGTTCTACATTCTCATAGGCATCATGAGTCTGGAGGGAGACCGTGGTTCATGCAGTCAGCCCCATCTAGATCTCAGCACACAAGAATGCCTTCACGAGACACTCGGACTTCAGCACAAGTGAGTGTAACCTGTATGTATCCTCCATTGCCAGCATGTCTGTAGTTATACTGATTGTCCAAGTTGGTGTGGCAACTAGGCTGCTGGCTGCATGACTGTGGAATCATGGTTTGATTTCTTCTGGCACCTACAATTTTAGATCCCTACAGAAATGCAGGAGAGATGTAACACTCGCTGAGAAAAGTGCCTTGAACAAAGTAAAAACCAGCCACCTAGCACAAGTCATCGCCAACTGGAGGAGATAACCGAAGTGCCAAAATCTACGTACAGGTGCATGTGTTATACAGCAGCAAGAGGAACTGCAAGATGTATGGACAGACATCCCTCATTCAGTGGTTCTCTATCGTAACTGGATGAGGTGTGCGGGTCAGTCATCCAGTGTTGAAAATCAAGTAAGAGGAGTTCGCTAAAAAGCTGGGTTATAACAATTTGAAAGCAACAGAAATGCAGGATTGGGATACAATTCAAGAAGGGCAGTGCTGATGCTGTACGTGCTGAACAGTTGAAATCCACAAAGCTGTCAGACATGCTTCAGACATTTTGAGCAGATTGTATCTACAGTACTGATGTCATGCTGGATGGTTCCCTAAGCTACAAAAACAGGCTACTCTGGTTCAGACAAACCAGTGGATTATGAAACTGTGTTGTGCTGTTCAAACTTGTCAGGAACTGATAAATAGAAGCTGTTGGTTATTTAAGGAGATTAGTATGGACAGTTTATCAGTTCTGTACTGTGCTAACAAACTGCATGGATGGCATCTGAAATTTATAAGAAATCGCTAATGAGTTGGATCTTGGAATTACAACAGAAATTGAGGAGAATTTTTCTGGTTCTTGGCAGCTGTGCTACACATCCTCACTTAGATTCTTTGAAAAGTATCGAGCTGGAATTTCTGTCTGTCCACATCACATCCCATGTACAGCCAATGGATATGGGTGTCATGACAAATTTGAGAACTTTATATTGTGCAAAGTTGGTAAACTTCTTCCTTGAAGCAGTTCAAGAAAATTCACTGATGTCATCTTCAACAGCTAAGGAGATCAGTATAAGAACTGATCTTTTACAAGCAGTACCATTTATTACCAATAGTTGAAGAAGAGTAGGAGGTTGATAGTGAAAATGATGTCATACTGGAAGTGCACCACATTGGAAATTATGAGGAGTTTCCATGCATCAGCAGTAGTCTCCAGTGGTATACTGAAAATAAAAATTGTGGGGAAGCAGATATTGAACAAATTGCAGTGAAACACTGGATGACATCAGAAGATCAGGAAAACAACTGAGGGTGACACAACCAAGCGTGAATGGGTGACTAACAGGATGCTACAAAATTTATTACTAGATTGTGACTTCATTGGGGGCACACGGTAGCGTAGTTGGTTGAGGGGCTATGCTACAAGCTGGAAGGTTGCGGGTTCTCAAGTCCCGTTGAGGTCATTGGATTTTTTCAGTTGACCTAATCCTTCCAGCCGCACTATGGCCCTGGGGTCAACTCAGCCTCTAACAGAAATGAGTACCAGGAATTAATTAAATAATTTTCCTGGTAGTAAAGCGCGGCCGGCGCGTAGGGCTGACAACCTTACCGCCATCTTTGAGCTGACTGTGGGACCCTCAACGTCTCACACCTCTATGGGCCTTCACATCCTGGTACAGGGATAGCTTTACTTTTTACTTTTACTTAAGACTGTGACTTCATTTCATGCAGGAAGGCAATGAGGGCAGTCCTATATCCGCACTAGAAACCTGTGCAGATTTTGTTCAGTTGCACTCAGTCAAGAGAACATGGCAGGGTACACCCAATCAATTCCTCAGATGTCACTAGCTGTCAAGAAGCATATGCATGTTTAATATATAAATGAATCTTACATTTCTCTTTTCTGTGATTTACACTAATTGTTTCAGCTCATTTAAAGTCAGTATGTTTGTTACTTAATAAAAGGAAAGCTTGTCTTTTGTCATGTACATATACCTTTTTAACCCTTTACATGCATCATCATATATTTGGGGCAGCCTGGGGAAAAGTAAGCTTTGTCTTGATGTCTCCTTGTTAATCGGAAGCTGCTATATTTCAGTGTGGGAACTCAGTGGGTAATGCAAATTTGCTTCATACTGTGGTCTTGAGTGTTATGACACTGTGTAATGGGTGCCACCATTTTCAGATGGTACCCAGTTGGTGCCCACCTACCGGATTATCTTCACCATTGTGAAAACCATGAATCTTAAATCATTTTTTACATTTTGGTTTGTGAACATGTTTGGTGTATTCTGAAATTCTGGGATTTTGTGTTCATGGTGTAGGTTGGCACGCATGACAGCAGGCAGGCAAACTTTGCTGCAGCAGGTGCAAGTAGCAGCTTGAAGGAAGCTGATGGTGATCCAGCAGCACCATCCTCTGATATGTCATCACAAGTTGTGTCAGGCCAGAGCTCTTCACAAAGTGCGAAAAAGCCTAAACTTGATACATCTAGCGAGAGTAATGCCCAGCCTGGTCCCAGTAGGTGGCCAGAAGAAAAGACTGCTTCCTCTGTGCACAGTACTTCTAGTCATGAGACAGCAGGAGTAAGCAGCGCAACAATGGCTCATGGTGCTAAGAGGAGGGTGAACAGTCGCACAGGGCCCAGCAGTGACCCTGGTAACTCTCAGCAGACATCTACAACTTCTGAGGTAAAACTGCATGCAGGATGTCCAAACAGTACTCATTTGTGCACTGATCCCATTCTGTTGTGAAACTGTCAGTATGGAAAGTAACAGTGTTGCCACTCTCATTCTCCTTTGCCTGTTTAAACCCCAGTGAAGTTAGTAACATGTGTAAGGTTCTTACGGTAGTGAATATAAAGATTATGTGACCCCATGTAGTTGAATAGATAGATACCAAGTCACATAGTGTCATGTCTCAGAAAACCATAATCTTGACTCGCGAAGTAAACTTAACAGCCTGCACACATACATGTGCATTTTGTTACCATGTATGCAAGTCACATCAGGTGGTTCTGTGGTTGTTGTAAACAGGTGTCCCCTAATAAAGGTGACATTAGAATGTTCATCTTGGGGGCATTTAAACCTTGTCCAGAGCTTGAGGCAGGGTCACCACTTTCTGCCAGGTGTGAAAAATTGCAGTTTATATTGTAGCATGTAGACCTGTTACTGGGTAATGACCCTGAAACAAACAGTGAGACAACATCCACTGCTATGGAACAAATTCTTAGTTAGCAAGCATACGCAGCCATTACTGGTAATGCCTTCGCAAACAAACACGTTACCATTGAAATGATTGGACTACAACAATGAATGGTGTTTTCTGCAGAGTCCACGCTGAGATGTTATAACCAAACAAGTTTAGAAATTATGAGAGAGTTGTAAGAGAGTCTGTGAAGAGAAGACTTGGTTGGCACAGTTGAAGAATCTCCACTGTTAGAAGCTCTTACCAGGAAACGACTGGTGAGGATGCAGCAGATTGAGAGACTTAGCGTGTGCTGTAGTGATTTGTGAAGTGTGGAAATTAGCGATAGTGTTATAGTTACCTATAATTATGACCCATAAGTGGTCAATAAATTCAGTCTCCAATCCAAAACCCCATTGTGAGTTGCTCTAACACATGACAACATTATATCAAATTATGCATATGATGTTCCTTGAAGCACAGCACACTTGTCCTCACCATGTTGTAATGTCTGACTTTCCTCCTGTTGAGGATCTTCTGGAGAGATGCTGCCATACTGTATTCTGTGTTGAGTCTTACTACTTCAAGTTTTTTTCAGAGTACTTTGGTATGGGCATGCACAAATTCCAAGTGCCAGGTAGTTCACTGTGGTACCAAAAATTTTCATGTTACTGCTGCATGGAGGGGACTGTATTCCTCTATCCTTCCCTGTGTAGACACAGAATGGCTACACATATCCAGTACTAGACTCACAATTGAAAGGTTTCTGTACCAAACTCTGATGGCTTCAGCGGCAGGTGCTGCTTGAAAGAGAGGCGTTCTTTCCATCAGGTTAGTGATGGATGTAGGGACTGTTGTGATGAATATACAGGATTTCAGCTTTTGTTGGAAAAGGCTAGGTAGTATTGATTCTTGAACAGTATTTGAAGACCTTCTGCTTGTCTTTGGTACTGCTGTCTGCTAATTGATTGCAATTGATCCGGAGAAATCATGGAGCCAAATATGGGGCTTGGCTGCTAGCTGGTTATGTAAACAGTAAATCCTGAGGTTCAGTCTTTGAAAACATTCGTTTAAGTCAACAGTCTGACTGTAGGACCTATGTACATATGGATCTCTACCAGCACTGCCTCCATCAGCATCACTGTCACTGTCCCACAGTTTAGGCCATTAGTGAGTGGTTTCTCAGTGCAGTGGCCCAAATTCAGTCTCAGGTTAGGTCATGTGGGATTTGTAATGGACAGAGTAGGACTGGGACAGATCTTTTTTTTTTGGTCTTCCTTTTCCAATTATCCCACCATTGCTCTCCATGCTTATTTACTGTCAGGAGCTGGTGCAGTACCCTCATTTGAGACCACAGGAGAAAGGGGCTGAGTCTTGCTCCACTCCTACAACTAAAAAGTAATGAATTAAAAATACAGACACAACCAATTAGAATAGCTGATTGATATCTGCATATTTTCCAGATATATAATTCAAGGAAGTTTGTGTATTTTGTTTATGAATTTTCTCATACAAAAATTAATGAGACAGAAGCTCTATAACACTTTGAGTAATTTCTGTTTCTGTCTGAGGACATGTCATGTGGTAAAGTCCATAGAGGTAAATATTTGTCTGATAATTTCCCTATCCAGAATGGTCTAAAACAAGAAGATGCTTGTCACTCCTTTTCAACTTTGCTTTAGAATATGCCATTAGAAAGGTCCAGGAAAGCCAGGTGGCACTGAAATTAGATGGAACACATCAGTTGTTGGTCTACGTGGAGTGTTCAAAAAGTATCGAACCTTCTTTTTTGTCACGTAAACCAATGAAGCGCGGGAGGCTCCCTTCGGTGGAGATGTGGAGGGGAAATTCATTTGCAGTCGTGAATTTTTTCCTGCCTGCAGAAAGCGTCAGTTACTGGCAGTCTGCTTATCAGTGAGGACGTGTAGTGAGTGCTCATCGGATTCCAGTAAGTTGTAAAATAATGGAACAACATGAGCAGCGATATTGCATCAAATTTTGCCAAAAGCTTGGCAATAACCAAGTGGAAACCACTCACAAGATTCAACAGGCTTTTGGGGACAATGCCATGAGCAACTCACGGATAAAGGAGTGGTACAACCTCTTCAAAGATGGCCGCACATCAGTGGACAGGGAATCGCATTCAGGCAGAGCCTCAACAAGCCGATATGAGAATGTCATTGAGCAAGTGCGGACTTTGGTCATGGAGGACTGTCGTATCACAGTCTGAGAACTCGCAAACGAGATAGGGGTAAGCATTGGATCGGTACGTTCAATTTTGACCGAGGATTTGGGCATGAGGAGAGTGTCCGCGAAATTTGTACCGAAACTGCTAACAATGAAGCAGAAGTAACGCCGTCTGGAAATCGCACAGGACATGCTGGACAATGCAAACAGTAACCCAAACTTTCTGAACACCATGATCACAGGCGATGAGTCGTGGGTTTATGGGTACAACCCGGAAACCAAGATGCAGTCGTCACAGTGGAAACATCTGACATCCCTGAGGCCAAAAAAAGGACAGCAGGTCCGCAGCAATGTCAAGGTCATGTTGGCTGTTTCCTTCGACTCCCATGGAGTTGTGCATCATGAGTACACACGACAAGGGCAAACCATCACAAAGGAATACTACCAGGAGGTCTTTTGTCGCCTTTGTGATGCTGTGCGGCGCAAACGACCGGATCTGTGGGCAGCAAAAACTTGGCAGCTCCATCGTGATAACGCACTCGCCCATTCTGTGCATCTGATTCAGACTTTCGTTGCCAAACACAATATCCCTGTGGTTCGTCAGGCTCCCTACTCCCCTGACATGGCTCCGTGTGACTTTTGGCTAATTTCCAAGCTGAAAATGCCGATGAAAGGAACCCGATTTGAGTCAAAAGAAGACATCATGTGGAATGCGACGGCCTGGCTGATCACCATTCCAAAAGGCGCGTTCCAGAAGTGTTTCCAACAATGGCGGAAGCGCTGGGAGAAGTATGTGCATTACCAAGGAAACTACTTTGAAGGGGATTAGAGTTTTGTACCTCCAATCAATAAATGTATTTCTGCTGACCAAAGGTTCGATACTTTTTGAACACACCATGTATATTGATGCAAATCTGCTGGGTGATAATATAGATACCATAAAGAAAAACACACAAACTTTAACTGACGCTAGTAAAGAGGTTGATCTAGAAGTAAACACAGAGAAAGTTAAGTATATTGTCACGTGTTGGGTATGTGACACGATGCATAACTTCACGCTGTATTGGATGTAGCAAATTTATTCCACTCGCTCTTACAGTTACACAATTTGCAGTTTCACAACTACTGCCATCTGCAGTATCACAATTACTTCTACTGCTGGAGTCACTGCTATGCACTCAATACAACTCAACTCCGTTCTGAAGGTTGTTCGTCCTGAACAGCCTACCGGTACATCCCCGTTTCTTTTCTTTCAAGGCTGTGCTTGCTGCATCTTCTTTTGGTTTGGCTACTCCTCTTGCATTGACTATTCTCCAGCTGTTACATCCATTCCCTTCTTAAGATTGTTTGTCCTGAACAATTCCATGGTCCAGCGTTAGTCGATCCGTTGTATAACATTCACTCCTCTCTTTCATTCTCTCCTCATTCATGCTGGGGAGGCCGGTGTTTCTACATTACTGGTTCCTCCTCTGCTTGCAGTCTCTTTTTCAGTTTTGGAGGGGCTCGACCCCTCCACAAGGTCCAATCCTTGTCTTGTCGTAGGCTGACAGAAGATTCGACTATTCGCTTTCCGATCTTCACGCTGACAATCTCATAGATGGTCTTCTTACGAGTTCTCCCTCCCAGGTGCGATCGCTGTCCTGATCTACACCTTCTGATGGTGTTCTTGGTTGGCACCTTTATTCTCATTTTGCATTGCGGGCCTTTCCAGTGTCTATTTTCCTCTGTTCGTCCTTTCCAGGTTTCTTGTTCAGCATTGACCCTGGTTGAATATTTCTTTACGAAATTTCCCTTGCGCCATGTCACACCTGCATGGCTAGTCATATATATGTCGGCATCCAATTCGTGCCATGGTCCGCACTTTCCTTGGGTCCAAGATTTCCTGTAGCTGTTCCTTCTGTGTCATGCCACTGTTGCACAGCAGAACACCTTCCTGCCTGTTTTCTTCTGCCATGCCACTTCCACGTGGTGGCTTGTCCCTCTGCGGGTGACGGCCAGTCTTCTTCGGCCCCACCCTTTCCCGGGTCCGTTTCTTCATTTTTTGCTGGTTTCAGTCTCTACGTCTTTTCTTCTTTGGTTCTCCAACTGGCATTACTTCGGTGTCTTCTACGGGGACTTCTTGTCCACTGAGGTCTGCTCTTTCTCTTCTAGACATGCCTCTATCTCTTGGCAGGCCATCATCTCTTTTTGGGTAATCGGCATCATTTCTTCTTCAGGTTCTCTGACCGGCATCACTGTGGCATCTTGTACAGGTACTTCTTGATGCTCCACTACAGACTGTATCATTTCTGAATCGGGCTCAATGTTCTCTGCATCTGCCTCCATCACTTCTTGGCAGGCCGTTCTCTCATTTCAGCATGTCTTCAGGGAGTGAATTGCAACCTCTTCATTAGGAATCTTCTGTCACTCCACTACATCTGTTTTTTCTCTTGGATTTGTCTCCATTGCATCTTGGCAGGCTGTCGTCTCTTCCTGCCAGGCATTTATATTGGCTTTCAACCTCTTGTCTCGCCTGGCAGCCGTCCTTGCTTCGATGGCTCTCGTTTCTGCTCGGAAGGCTTCTCTTTCTGCGGCAGTATTTTCTTGCCAGGCCTTTGAGTCAGTGTCCATTTTCGCCAGTAGGTGTTTGATCATTTCTTTCATCTCCATCATGTGGGTGCCATCGTTGTGGTGTGTTTAAGTTCGTAAACCAATTCTGACACTAAATTGTCACATGTTGGGTATGTGACGTGACAAATAACTTCACCTCATATTGGCTATAGCAAATTTATTCCACTTGCTCTTACAGTTACACAATTTACAGTTTCACAACTATTGCCATCTGCAGTCTCACAGTTACTCCTCCTGCTGGAGTCACTGCCATGCACTCGATACAACTCAATTCATAGCTGCTGGACTTCAGTTCATACTGGATACTAGTAACTCTCCCTCTAGTAACTCAATACTCACTACTACTGAATAGTGTTCGCTGCTCCTTATTTAGGCTCGGCTCAGACAACATAGAGAACACGTTGCTGCTCGGCAACAGATATCAGGTATTGTTGTCAGGTGTTTCTGCCTACGCATTGCGTAGCAATAGTCACTGCATGGACTAGCCTGTTGCATGATGTCACAGCCTAGTGGGGACGGGTGTTTACTGAGCGTTGCATAATGATGGGAGGAGTGGGGATACGTGACGTCACTTGTGGAAACACAGAGTTCATGTGACCCATATTTCCTGTTGCGCCATCCATGTTACACTGCCCCTTTCTAAAGGTTGTTTCTTCCCGAACAGCCTAACAGTACATCCCAGTTCCTTTTCTTTCAAGGCTGTGCTTGCTGTGTCTTCTTTTTGTTCGGCTGCTCCTCTTGCAGTGACTATTCTCCGGTAATTTGTCTTATCAACAAAATGCAGGGCAAAATCATGACATCAAGATAGGTAACAGATATTTGAAAATGTGGCACAGTTCAGATATTTGGGAACAGTGATAACAAATCAAAACCTGATACAGGAGGAAATTAAGAGGAGATTGAACTTGGGTAATGCTTGCTACCATTCAGTCCAGAACCTTTAGTCTTCATGTCTGCTGTCTAAAAACATAAAAATTAGAATATACTAGGTGGTTCGAATATGACTGGGACTGATTTTTTTGTAAACAAGCCGCACCGCGCAGCAGCTGTGTGACCTTGAGAGAGTGGAGCCACAACCTCCACCCTCCCTCCTGTTAGGGTTAGAACCTGTTCAGTCCTGTCTGGAAGTTGCTAAAGTGATGAGTGAACAGAAGGTACCGTGGAGTGTGGGACAACTCATTGTGATCAAATTCCTCGGAGAAAACCTCCCGTCCGCTGAAATTCACCACAGACTCAAACAACAGTATGGGGAAGAGTATCTCTCACAGACCCATGTGTTTGAGTGGTGTAAGTGCTTCAGAGAGGGCAGAGAGCGCGTGGAGAATGAACCACATGTTCGTCAGCTGCAAACATCCATCACCAAGCCAAACATTGATCGTGCAGACGCACTTATTCGTGAGAATAGGTGCATCACTGTCAAGGAACTTGGGGCAATGCTGTCCGTCAGTGTTGGTAGTGTAGAAGACATCATGAAATACCACCTGCACTATCGCAAGGTGAATGCACGGTGGGTACCATGCACTTTGACGGATGTGAACAAAATGGTGCGCATGCAAGTTGCCAGTCTACTCCTACAACAGTTTGAAGATGAAGGTGATGCATTTTTTAAGTCTATAGTGACCACTGATGAAACGTGGGTGCACTAGTTCATTCCCAAGCCCCAGCAATCATCACGCGAGTGGCGGCATACCAGTTCTCCCAAATCCAAGAGAGCGTGGAGGAGCCGTTCGGCAGGAAAAGTGATGGCAACGTTCTTCTAGGACTGGCAGGGGGTTATCCATGTAGACTTCCTGACAGATGGCAGAACAGTCAATGCAGCTTATTACTCAGACCTCCTGGCAACAGACGTGAAGGAAAAGATCTGATTCAAGTGGAAGAGTGGTGGAAAGTGGGTCGCCTTCCTTGAAGACAATGCAGGCCCCCATATGGCCAAAACAACAATGGAAACCCTCCGGAAATTGAAATGGAACCTTCTGACACATCTGCCGTACAGTCCCGATTTGGCACAAAGTGATTTCTACCTGTTTGGAAGGCTCAAATCAGACTTGCAAGGCCTGCGGTTTGTGGACAATGATGCCATCATCCAGAATGTTCGGTAGTGGATATGCTGCCAACCACACACCTTTTTTGAAAAGGGCATCAGGATGCTTCCAGAACGTTGGAAAAAATGTGTTGACTCCGGAGGGGAGTACGTTGAAGACTGACATGTGCAAGTAAGTGTTTGGCAATTTTGGTTTAAAAAAAGAAATCAGTCCCTGTCATATTTGAACCACCTTGTACAAAACAACAATTTTGCCTGTGTTACTGTATGGGTGTGAAACTTGGTCTCTCACATTAAGGGAGGAACATAGACAGACTAAGGGTGTTTGAAAACAGGGTGTTGAGGAGAATATTTGGACTGAAGTGGGATGAAGTGACGGGACGTTGTAGAAAACTACATAATGAGGAGCTTCATAACTTGCACTCTTCTCCAAGTATAATTAAAATGATCAAGTCAAGGAAGATGAGGTGGACAGGGCATGTAGCACAAATGGGGGAGAAGAGTAATTCATGTAGGATATTGGTGGGAAAGCCAGATGAAAAGAGACCACTGGGAAGACCAAGACAGTATTAAACAGTATTAAAATGGATCTTAGAGAGATAAGGTAGGATGGTTTGGATTGGATTTCTCTGGCTCAGGATAGGGACCAGTGGATGGTTCTTGTGAACACGGTAATGAACCTTCAGGTTCCATAAAATGCTGGGAAGCTCTTGAGTAGCTGCACAGTTGGCAGCTTCTCAAGAAGTGCTCAGCTCCATGAGTGAGTGAGTCTGAAGACATGTAGGATGTTGCAAGTTCTGTTACCAGGTGTTAACAAGGGAAGGTCCCATTGTGCAACATACACTAAACTAAACTAAATTATGGCACATAACATTTATGTGTTCCAGTCTCTCAGTGCGATGATTGCACGGTTGGAGTCACTTGTAAGGCAGCAGAGGGAGCAACGGGAGTCACTTCATCGCGAAAGACGAGGGCAACAGAGCAACATGTGGGAGTTACGGGACCGACATTTGTGGTTCAGGGCCGGTGCCAATTCTGGCAGTGACAGTGGTTAGTGATACTGCATGTTTTGGCAACAGCATCTATCTTCAGCTACTTGCTTGCCCCAAATATATTTATATTGTTTCATTCAAATCATTACAGATAGCAACCCTGAGAGCGACAGGCATCAGCCATGTGGACAGCCATCTGCAGAAGGGAGACTGATGTGAGTGTGAACAGACTGGAATTATTTATTATATTTTAGCATCAAGTTGTTTGTGTGTGTGTGTGTGTGTGTGTGTGTGAAATTCATTTTATTCAGACAGCACAGTAGGAATCTTAGAGGTGAACACACCTTTTTATGTACGAGGGTAAGTCAATAAGTAAGTTACAAATGGATATAGAACTTAAACAAATAAGAGTACTGATTTGAAAAATGCTTTTATTTCTCAACATAATATCCCTGTACATTGAGGTACTTGTCCCATCGTTTCATAAGCCCCTGAAAACCAGCAGCATAAAATTCTTTGGGCTGCTGTCGGAACCAGGCAGTGACTTCCTTTTCTACAGCTTCATCATTGGGAAAATGTTCAGCTGAAAGATGATGTTTAAGATGGCCAAACAAATGGAAGTCGCTTGGAGCAAGGTCGGGGCTATACAGAGGATGCTCGAGGACTTCCCACTTGAAATTTCATAGTGTCTCATTTGTCTTGTTGGTAGTATGGGGACACGAATTGTCATGCAGGAACAACACGCCTTTGGCGAGGAATCCTGGTCGCTTCTGTTGAATGACCTTACGAAGTTTCCTGAGTATGTTACAGTAGGCGTTGGCATTTACAGTTTGTCCTTGAGGCTGGAATGCGGTGAGCAGTATGCCTTTGTGATCCCAGTCACTGCCTGGTTCTGACAGCAGCGTAAATAATTTTATTCTGCTGGTTTTCAAGGACTTGTGAAACGATAGGACAAGTGCCTCAATGTACAGGGAGATTATGTTGAGAAATAAAAGCATTTTTGAAATTTGTTTAAGTCTGTATCCATTTGTAACTTACTTATTGACTTACTTACATATAACAGCATTGCATGTTACTAAAAAGATGGTGTTCAAATATGTAAACACTGGCCAATGTAGGAATACCAGCAGATGAATACAGGTAAATATAAAAAAGTCGGATACATGACGATAGCTAAATGAACCAAAGCATCTTGTAAGAAACTACAGATATGCTGAGATAGTACCTTGAATTAGGTAATGACCACTTCCTTGCACATTGCTTCCAGTCTGTTACTTGCTGAGTATGTGCTACTGACTGCATTGTTCAGTAAGCCATGAAATCCTTCAGTGCTAGATGTAGATTCATGCTGACCAACTTCCTAAGAAGGGCAGTTGTTGCTGTCATTAGCACTGCAATTGCCGCCATGACCTTAAGTGGACTGTGTCACCTGCTCCATCCATCTCATGTCCTTAACCTACTGAGTTGTGGTATGCAGTCAATATGAGGGAGAGTCTGTAAATAGGTCACAGATGGAAGTAGGACAGCTGTAATGGACATAATAGAGAGGTTTTATATGTGTTTTCTAGGTAGCAGCACAGTCCAGCTTCATGACAGTCTAGGCAGTAGGTGTGCATGTGCATGTTCAGGGTCTGGTTGCAGTAAAAATGGTGACTGTGCTTCAGGATATACTCCCGAAAAGCAGTGTTCTGTTGTGTGTTTTTTTTTGTGGGCAGAAGAACTCTCTGCAAAGGATGTTCATAAATAAATGTTTCCTCTTTATTGTGGGAAGTGTTTGTTGCCTAAAGCAGTTCACAACTGGGTTGAGAAACATGGCAAATGTTTTGCCAGTGCGAGGTTGAAACGGAGGTGCAGAAATGACAACATTTAGAAGATTTCTATGCTGTGGGTTTTGACCCACTGGTAAAGTGATGGGACAAGTGTATCTGTTGTTGAAGGTTATGTCGACAGGTGTTTTTTTTTAGGTTCAGATATCACATATTTTACGTTTTATATCCATTTGTGACTTGTTTTCTGACTGTGCCTCATACATACCTTGTGTAAGATATTGTTAATTGTAATAGTTTCATTTCCTCTAGAACTGCGATTCAGAACGAAACAAATAGGAGTTTCACATGTGGTTCACATCATGGTCATTCAGGTGCACTTGATGAAGACTGGGAATGGACTCGAGAATCCACTCGACTACGAGCACGGTAAGAGAAACAAACACAGTGCATTTGCTTGAGTTTATACAGGATGCTTACTGACACTCTTAGCTCTCACAGTAACAAGATGTTTTCTTGCAGATAAGAAATGTATTTCTATCCCGGATATATAATGTGATACATCATACTAGTGAATGAACTAACATCATCGAGCAGAGTTTTTCTTGAGAAGCTGATATTTGCTCAGTACTCTAGAAATCCCATTCCTTTTATAGAATCGGAAAAACCATTCCTGTGTTTGCAAGATTCCAGCACCAGTCCCTCTCCTGAGCTAGATGACAGTCCATTCGATATCCATTGACTCTGTTTAAGATCCAGTTAAGTATTGTCCCATCACTGGCTAGGTCTTCAAAGCAGTCACCTACTTTCCTTCACATTTTCCAACCAGACTTTTTGTATGCATTTTTCATCTCCCCTGTTTATGCTACATTCCCTACTTACCTAATTATCCTTGATTTGCCATCCCAATAATTGTTTTGTGAAGAGTGCAAATTGTGAAATTGCCCATTCTCATTTCTTCATCCTCCATCCTTCACGGGCCCAAACATTCAGCACCCTGTTCCCAAACCATTTTTTGTCTGTTCTTTCCTTAATGTGAGAGACCAAGTTTCACACCCATACAAAACAATGGATAAAATTACAGTTCTGTGTGTCTTTTTTTAACCTTATATTTTTAGATGGAAGACTTTGAACTGAATGACAGCAGTTATTGTGGAAATTTAATCTGACTGTCTCTTCTTGATGCCTGTAAATAGCTTATGTACCTACTGTCCCTGTGTCCTGTATCTGACAGGTGCAGAATATCTGATCAGTATTCACTATTTAAGGTCAAATTCCACAGTAACAATGATCTTCAATAACTTGATCTGCATGTGGAGTGAACATTGAGAGAAGTTGAGTATATGATATAAATTCCGTCCTAAGTGCAACAATTTATTGTAGGTCTTTCGTTTTGCTTTCTTCTACACTACATGTTTCGGCTGCAAACGGCCATCATCAGGTGTATACACTCACGTAGCTGTTACACTGCACCCAGTTTAAAATTTAAAAGCACACAGGTCTTCCCAATTGGCTAACAGGATCTACTTCGCTGATATTTGTCTGATTCATACATCACCTTTGTCACCCACACATGTCAATTTTGACATTCATGAACTGGCATTTTTAAAATCTTCAGTTCCAATTTTAGAAAATTCTTTTAAAATTTTTCCAAATTTTAAAATTTAAAATTCTCAGGGTTACTCGCCCAATGTCTATAGTGCTGCAGCAGCTACTTCTTGTTTTCACCACTGTACAGGTGTTATTCTGTGTAGGCTCCCTGTGTGCATGCCGCTGCTTTATCTTTACTATGTGTGTAAATAGGTACAGAAACAGACTCCTTTTACTGCTTAGGCAGTTATTCCTTTGTGCATATAGAATTTTTAGGTTTATGGATGTCAGAACACACACAATGTGTTGAATTAGTTAGGACAGTTTTTCAGTAGCAGTTTAAGCCACAGGAATAATAGGCCCAGGTAGTAATAAGAAAATCAGTGTAATTTCAATACAAAGTAGGGGTATATGTTAGCATTTCATTGTTGATTATTATTCACTTTTCTTTAAGTATATGTACTCTTCTCATCACATTGTAATTCTGCTAGCTGTTATGGCCCAGGGTGTTGTGTCATGTGGTTGGTATGGTCGAACCATCAAGTGATTGAAGCAGAGAGGTTACCTAAAGCAGAGATTTCCAAATTTAAATGTTTATTGCTGGAATTTATTTTGGGACTGATACATGCAAATTCTATTGCCTGCAGTTACTAAGTTCTGTATAAGAGAGCCACACAAAGAAGTTCCATGAGGGGTGGGGATGATGGTGCTTGAGGCCGTCGCCTCACCGCTTAACTCTTGTGTTCTGTTCCAGTCCCCTCCAGCTCATGTCAGCCAGTCAGTATTTTTGTGAACGTAATGGCTAGACAACCAGAAGAAATATGCTGGAAGGGGATGTGTAACAGCTCGAGCGAGATGTGGAAGGTGCCTATCCATGGGACCATCCATGGCCTTGGTGTAATATGTTGCAAATATTTCTTTGATATTGTATTATTACAGCTTGTTTCCCTTTCAGCCAAGTTCTGAGTTTGATGGTGGAAAGTCTGACACAATTTTTTGAAGAGAATGGCCTCCCCAACAGTACCTCCCATGCCGTACTAGATGAGCAGATGTACAGTAAGTCTCACATGCTTCTATGTAATTGTCACATTGCAGAGTGACTATAGACATGGTTTGGAATGGTAATCAGATTTATTGGACACTTGCTTGTAACTACAAATAACTGTGATAAATTTTTCACTGAGTTACACACCCACAAAGATCACTTTAACTACAGCATACATAAAGTCTTTTCTGTCTTCACTAGCCAATGCTGGGTAGTGGTTTCCAGCACTGGACGTTCCCCATTCCTCTGGGTTCCCAAACTGTCCCTGGCCTAAGCTACTTTTTCACTTCTCACAGCTGCAACTCTCAACTGGCTCAACAGAACTGCTACCCCTCATTATATAGCCCCACGTGGACCACACAGGAAATGTCTCTTCCATTATTGCATGTTCTCTCGTTACTGGGAAAATGTATCCACAGAACTGTTCCCTAGAAACAGCTGTTGTGCTGTTGCCTGTTTACACAGCTGTTACTTCGCATTGGGGCTGTAGCACAGTGTTTGCCATCAAAATACAAGTTTTGACATGTTGTTAGTGGCCTGACATTTTGACCCTCATTGAGTGCCCTATGTTTAGGGAAGTGATGCTGTATGTCTGGCTGAAGTTCACTGATGTATTGGAGGAATGTACTGACTCGGTTTTTAAGCATTTGGCATGATGGTTCCCTGTTTGTTTGCTTGCTTGGATTACCCTTCAGTCCTGAAGGTGGAGGAAGTTTGCCCCACCAAAACATTGGTGATTGCCTACCAGACCACACAGTGTCACATCCCAGAAGATAGTAGTTTACACACAGCTCAGATCTCACATTTACTGTTGTATCTTAGATATCATATAAAATTACTGTTGAGTTTAATTATATTGTAATGTGTCCTAAATTACTGGATTATTAAAATTCCGTAGACACACATTTTAAAGACAATGTTATCAATACTTTGTTCTATATAATCCTTATCTATCTAGGTCAGGTATTTTAATTAACATCTATTCTAGTCATTCATGTATGTAATGACATTAATTAATGTAAGAATCAACATCTGTATTAATCCTTTGCAGTCCCATTCAAATACTAGTGAACAATGTAATTACAATTACGTTTGTTTTCCTCTATAACTTGCATAAAATTGAAGGAACTTTGCTGAATGTAATGAAAATATGTTGTGAAAGGTTCATGCAGTTCCCACCGTTTGAATATTGACTATGTGAAATATTTTTCAAGGACTGTGCCGATGTTGATACTGTTATGTATAGTGAATGGTTCCTTTCTGTTTGCTGTCATTTGGTAGAGAATAAAACCATGACCACCAAATCTTTTGATATGAGTTCGATGACCTCTAAACATCTCGTATTATGTGCAGATGTATGAGGTGTAGTAAGATCTGATTTCAGAATCTCTGGGCTATGTTTTCTTTTGAGGTGGCGGCATTAGTAAGGTCATGGCGAAGTCAGCACAGTAAAATCAAACACAACACAAAGTTTAAATAATGAAGTCACTGTATATAAAGAATGCGTTATAAGACGATAACTCAATATGCAAGTATCAGTGACAGAAATATAATTTCATAATGAAAAAGGGGGTGCTTGTCCTACAACTTCATTAGATATAAAATATTTTTATTAGCTACATACCTGTTGTGCCGTGATGACAGGGGTGGTTAAAAGAAAATACTAAATTACTATGTCAATCATCTCTCTTTTTCTAATCCCACCGCTGCCACCACTTGTTGTGCCACAATGATTGTGACACAAATATCGCTCTTATAAATCTTATCGCTGCCACCAACTGTTCTGCCGTAAGGGGGGGGGGTATTTAGTAATTACCAAAAAAACTGTAGTTCACAGTAGTCTACTCTCTGTCGGCTCCTGTCCCTCAGGAGCCTCTCCCCTTCCTCCAGCTTATTCTTCCTGTGCAGAGTGTTGTTGCTCCCTGGTTCCGAGCTCACAGTTCCCATGAGACGTAAGGTAATGCAGGAGCGGTAAGGGGAAGGAGCCTAGTGGGTTGTACCAATAAAGTTCTCTACATTTCCATCCTACTCTATTCGCCTAGTACCTACATACATACACATATATACAGTAAATAATGCCAACTGCTGTCGGGTGGCACAAGGTTCACATATATTCGTTATCCCTCCTGTACTGACACATGGTACTCTAGCCTGTTCTGTTGCTCATGTTAGTCACTGGGTTTGCACTTTAATAATATCACCTTATATTTCATGGCTAATATGAATAGTTCGACTTACTTGAGACAGAGATGCAGACGATCGCCTACCACCACTTTGTCGGTGCCATGACGGACATAGCCTCCGGCTACACTCCTTGAAAATGATTGTTTGATTAGCCTCAAATATTTTCCATTTCAGTACTTTTGTACTCTGTAATTGATGGCTCATCAACTTCCGGGAGGGTGAACTCCCACCTCTTTCTGACACTATTTCTAAGGGTGGCTAGTGCTCATTGGATAATTACTTCTCACGGCGACGAATCCCGTTCTGCCAGCCTCTGTCTACTCAGCATTTCTAATACTCCTAGCGTTTTCCTCTATGCCCACTCACTTACTCGCTTCCGCGTTGTCAGCGCCGCTGTGCTGAGCTAAGGCATTCCCTTGCGCTCTTTTCCCTTCCGCGTTTCACAAATATGGACCTTGTGTCAGCATAAAATCTTTTTAACAATCCAAAAACATACTGTCTATGTCCCCATATTACATTTGCAAATTTGGGGCAGATGGTATTTCTTCACTTATTGAGGTGGAGTCCTGGTTTCCTTGGACATGTATCACAATAAAATTATGTTTTTTCCTGCCTGCTAGGTCCAGGTTAGGCTGGAATCTGTGTGTGTAATGATATCCTTTGCCATTTGTGCGTTATGTTATGAGACCTGCTTATGAGTTCTAGAACAGTTCAGCTGGTAAGTGTTCTGGCTGCATCAAACTCTTGTAGTTGTTGATTCATCATAGGGAATCGGACCACAAATGCACCCATTTGAGGAGTCAAAAATTACGTATATTATGAAGCCCCCACTTAGTTGACTTTTATGCATTGTACATTTTATAAACCACATGACCCCTGAAATTCACAGTTGATTCATCTGCAGACAAATACTGTATGGGACACTAAAATTCTAAAAATTTTTACATAATCATAATATTGTACTGCAGCATCCTGTTGCACATAACTTATTTTCAGGTCTTACTGTCTCACGTGTAAACTTGTGTTAAAATCTTAAAAATTCACTTTTTTATTTTAAAAATATTTCTCACATCATTGGTGCACTACATGTTTTGACTGATACAGTCATCAACAGGTGCTTAAAAAATTGCTGTTGAAAATTGCTGCGCTTCAATCAATGAATACAGTTCCAAAGTATATCCTTGTAGTAGAATCATCCAGCACTATAAACATACAACAACAAACACATGTAGATTCAAAGTAAAAACAACCCAGTAATTCTGTGTAAACAAACACATGGTCGCATAAGCAAGGGTATACCCCAGAATCATATTCATTGAGGGAAGTGCAGCAGTTTTCAACAACAATTGAAGCACCTTGTGATGGCCTTATTGGTTGAAACATGTGGTGCACCAGTGATGTGAAAATAATTTTAAAATTCAAAAGTGAATTTTAACCTTTAAACACTGGACTTTTGAAATGGTGGTAGCCAGCCTCCTGCTGGTGCATGTTTAAATGCCTGTTATTGCTCTGTGTTTAAATGCCCAACACTTTTAGGGCACTTGCACTATATTTGAAAATGCTGTATCTAATACAATTTTTATGATAAATGAATGCAGTTGACTTTGTTTTTATCATCAAAGAACGCGGTGTCGCATATTACAACATAAAATTTGAAAGTATGTTGACAAAAATGTTATAAAGTGTTTTTAATTTTTAACTCGTAATGTTGATGCGTACTGTAAAAGTACTTTCCCACTGCTTCGCGTAGTACAGGGTGGGGCACAGAAACTTCCTTTTTTTGAAGGTGAATAAAAGAAAAATTATTGCTGATAGACAAAATTTATGTTTAGCTAATGAAAAAACATACTTTAAAGTTTTAAATCATATAGGTTTAAACAAAATATCTTGACGGTGGTGGCCGCCTTTCTCTATGCACTGATGCAACCGTTTCCCGAAGTTCCCCTTTGCACATTCCAACATGTGCACCGGAATTTGGGCTACTTCCTGCTGAATAACATTCTTCCGCTGAAGCAGGTTTGTGGGGCAGTGTTTAAAAAACTCTGCCTTGAGGTATCCCCATAAAGAAAATCACATGGTGTTAGATCAGGTGAGTGCGCTGCCCACGGGATATCACCTCGAAGCGAGATGAGCTGTCCGGGGAACTTTGCCCTCAAAACTGTCATCGAAGCTCGGGCTGTGTGGGCTGTGGCACCATCCTGTTGGAACCAGACATTTCCTAGATGCATTTCTTCAAGAGCTGGTTCAAAAAAGTTTTTAATCATGTCCACATACCGCTGTGAATTGACAGTAACTGCATGATTGTCTTCTTAAAAAAAAATAAAGGCCAATAACTCTAACTCTCAACAACGCACACCATACTGTCACCTTACCACTGTGAAATGGCCTCTCATGGAGCTCTCTGGGATTGTTACCACTCCAATAGTGCATATTCTGCTTGTTGACATATCCGGATAGGTGAAAATGTGCCTCATCACTAAAGAAAACAAGTGCGTCAGGGGGTAAAGTTTCCAATAACGTTTCACAGGCCGTCATTCGGTTCTGGAAATCACTTAGTGACAATTCTTGCACAACAACCATCTTGTAGGGATGGAAATGAAGATGTTTGTGAAGAATTCGGCACATTGAATAATTGGATATGTCTAGGGCGACTGCACGTTTGTGAGCGTAGCGTCTTTGATATCTCAAAATCGACTGTTGAACTGCCTCCACATTTTCTGGCGGCGTAATGGTCCATTGTCATCCTGATGATTTTTTCACCACACTCCTGGTTGTCTTAAAGTTCTCTACCCACAAAACAATCAATTTCCAGTTGGGAACCGGCCCTCTGGGCTTAATTGCGAAGTGAGTACGGAACACGCTGCAATGCCACGTAGGAATGGTTGTTCGAAAAATAGGCTTCGACAGCAAACGCACACTGCTCACTTGTCCACCTCATGTTTCCTACTGAGGGGTATTAGACAGAAACTTCTGCGACTGCTGTGTTCGCCGATCCTATCCCCACTTTTCTGCGACCTACCCTCCCTTCACAATGCGTCTTCACAAAAAGGAAGTTTCTGCGCCCCACTCTGTAGTTCTGCATTATAAAATCATTCCTGTATTATATTTGAGCATCCTGTTACACTCACACAATATATATGAGACAAACACCGTCTTAAGTGTAACAATTTAATTATAGTTCTTTTTTCTTTCCCTCCTTCACACTACATGTTTCGGCCCTAAATGGCCATCATCAGATGTGTATTAAAGATAAGCAGTGACACACACAGAGAGCGCCTACACAGAACAATACCTGAACAGCGTTAAACAAGAAGTGGCCGCTGCAGCACTATAGACATAGGGCATGTACCCTGAGAAAATTTTAATTTCAAAATTTGAAAAAGAAAAAGAACAAAAATCTTATAGACATTTTAACTTGAATTAAAGTTTTAAAAAAGTGCTAAATTTAGAAATCAAATTAACGCGTGTAGGTTAACAAAGATTTTATACAGTTAGAAAGACTAGTGATTTTAAATTTTAACAGGCAGTGTAACAGCTACGTAAGAATACACACCTGATGATGGCCATTTAGGGCCGAAACATGTAGTGTGGAGGAGGGAAAGAAAAAAGAACTACAATTAAATTGTTACACTTAAGACGGTGTTTGTCTCATATATAAAATCATTCCTGCTTGTAACACTTAAAACGTTTTCCCATTGTCTGGTGCCATAAAACAGCTGGAAGCAATAAAGTCATTTGCTTCTCTGATGGCAAGTTTCACATCTTTGTTACACTCTTCAGATATTCCAGTATTTTGACTAAAGGACAGAAAAGTGAAAACATGTCCTTTCAAGAAAGGCTATGCAGGGAATATTCATTGTTCCCTACTTCAGTGCCAAGCCCTGCCATTGCAGCTGCAAGAAAATATTGCCCTTTCTATGGTTGCAAGCCAAACCCTTGCATCGCAGCTGAGATGCAGAATGCATTCAGTTTTCTGTGAGTTCATAGTGAATTTGAATACTGTAGTTTCATTTTATCATACAGTGACAGCGAAAAGTTGTTTGGAAGATGATGAAATCGAAAGGCAGTTGAAATGTAAAATATGTGATGTGGGACTGTGCTTCAAGGAGTATTACACAAAGACAAGATTCAGTTACATGATGCATGGGTTGAAGCCTGTATATACGTTGAGCAGATAACAGCAAAGAAGTATGTATATTGAATTTTACTATATTTAAAAATAAATAATCAAAATTGTGCATACACTTCTACTAGCGGCTGCCCGACTGCACACGTCAGGGTACTTTGGCTACGATGACCACGCTCATCAGTGTACCAATTGGGGCATTTTGGCTGTTAAAGGTTAATGTTTTAAGACAAGTCTGCATGTGAGACAGTGAATAACAAGTGACAATCAACATATTCAATTACATTCTCTATTTATCTACCTTGGGACTGACTGTATTTGCTTATCTGGAGTTTCAGCCCTAAGGAGGTGGAGGGGACAAGAGAAGACCCCAGTCAGTATAACTGCAGAAATCTCTTCCTTGAAAAGATATGTGTTTATAGGACTGTGAAGAATCAAGCCACTGTTCAAGGAAAAAGTTCTTGAAGGAACATTTCACACACCTTGTCAAATTCAGTATAACGCCATGAAATACCGTTAGCTCTTCAGTCGAGTTTTTCAAAGGCGTGGCTACAATTATTTGTTCACATAGATGCCTATTGGTTTCAGCACATATTTCTTTGAATATAGTTTGCACTAAAAAATAGAAAAAAAATATTTGTGGAGAAACAGGCATTTGTCCATTTCAAGGTGGTTTACAGCCAGATGCACAAAATGGTACCTTACAGAAATAGTGGTTGTTTTCCTTCAGAGAGCCAAATTTTCATTATGATCATTAGTTACATCTGCACTTGTCTGACTGTCATCAGAACATTAGTTACATCTGCACTTGTCTGACTGTCATCAGAATTACCACCACTCCCACTGAAATCAGGCCTCTTTATTTTGGCATCAGGGTCACTGTGCTCAGTTATGTCAATATCTGAATCCCATGTAATTTCACTGGAGGAGTTGGAGCCATCATAGAGTTGTTCACAGATCTGTTTGCTGCCCAGTGCATGCCCACTTGTAAATGCCATTAGGATGTAGCTAACTACTGAGGAAAAATCTGCAGACACTTCACAAGACCCGTTATAAAATACACAGAATTATTACAATGAGTGGTTGGTTAACAACACAACTGGACAGAGGAATGCTTTAATGATATACTAACTCTGTTTGCCTCCCTCCAACTGACGCCTGGTCATATATAAAATACATATAACATGTGGTAGACTGAGTGTAACATAGGGCCACAAAGGATTAATATTAAGTGTGTAGTTAATTTTGTCTTTCAAATTCTATAGAAATGTCAACTGGTGAACACCAAGCATCTTATCAATGAAGGATGTAGTTTACATGTTTTCTATATTAGTTTATAAGATGAAATTACTCGATCATTTTAAAATAGAAAGATTTCAAAATTCAGATTACTAAAAGTTTAGGTTTCGTAAAATTCCTGAGTTTCAGAATTCCATTCATCTGATTGTTCTGTACTGACTAACTTATGCTGATTTTGATAACTGAGTATTTATGCACAACAAGTTAGGATATAATATCCATGGCATTAAAATTCTTGTGCATTTGCTTTCATCTGTTGAATTATGTCAAAAACCGTAAGACTTAATAAATGTATGTTGAGTGTAAAATGTCCATTTCATTTGTCAATACGCAAAACAACTCTTGTTCAAAATATTCTCTGTGTTGATAAAAAACTCAGCATGTGGACAGGAATGCATGTAGGCCTTATTGTTGTCTGATTCTAATTAAAATTGGAGTGTGTTCACGGAGTTTAGCAAAAATCCCCAATATCAAATTTCGTGAACAAGTAGTACTTGAAGACATATGCACAGACAGACACAGCAAAATGACTAGGCACACATTTTTGCAGCTTTCTTTTTGAACACAACTAAAAATGACTGACATCAGATCAGCGGAACTGATGCCAAAAGCATTTCATGCCTGCATTGTGTGGGAACCACCAGAAAGTAGAACAGTCAAGTGAAGTCCTTGTGTTGGAGTTAGTGAGGGGACTAGCGGCCTCCGTAGTCTAGAGGTAACGTTCCCACCTCATGACTCGTAGTACCCAGGCTCAAATACCCGGTGGAGGTCGTCGAATTTTTAAGGGCGGAAAAATTCAGGGAACAAGTCCTCTGGGAGGGACTTTAAGCTGTGGGTCCCGTATCGTAGCTTTACGGCACGTAAAAGAACCTCATACCTCCAAAGGAGGTCACTGAGCAAGAAAATTGCGGACGTTTGCCGCCCAACAGCAGTCACTAATACCTCCGGTAGATGGGGGAAGCATTATAGATACTTCTCAGCCAGTAGAGCCGGTCTCGCTGGCTGGGTGGGACTGATGGTAAGCACCAATACCGGCAGGATATAGAGGCTGGTAGAAATCATAGAGGGAAGCACAATGGACCACTACAGGTCTAAGTACATGGGGAAACCCACCCTCTCTAATAACTAACTAACTAACTAACTAACTATTGAGGGGACTGGCTGGCTATAACACTGATACCAGCTGTTTATTGTCTAAATACTGTGCATTATGCATGTGTATGTTTTTGTTACAGATTTGTATATTCTATTGCAACTTGCATTAGAACTCACAGATCTGTTACTGGCCCAGCTTGTTTCAACACGGTGAGTATGCAGGCATTTATCTCATTATAGAATTAATTATTTTGTGTTTACTTTGGATTATGGAAGGGGTTAACCATTTTTGTCCTTGATAGACACAAGCTTAGCAAAACTTTCCTTCACCTTTGTTTCTTCAACCATTCTTCTTAACCACATGACCCCTTCTCATTGTATAGCAATATGCTAGCAATATCCCCACACTTACTCCTGCTGCAGGATCTTTATATCCTACTTCATTCATCCTGAAGACGGAAACTACAGCATATACCTATATGATGCAACAATTCAGCATACAATGCATGAAAATGCAACAACAAAAGTAACATTATTTTGTAGCCAGGATGAGGCTTAAAACTGAAAGATAAGTAATGGAAAGTAGCAAGCAGAATTCTAAATAATGCCACAATTGTGTCTCAACAATGCCATAATTTTATGTCTCAATAATGCCACAGGTGTGTCATAACAATGCCATACCTTTATATCTGAATAATGCCACAGTTGTCTCAACAGTGCAATACTTTTGTGGCTTAATAATGCCACAGTTGTGTCACAATAATGCCATACTTATGTCTTAATATGCCACAGGTGTGTCTCAACAATGCCACACTTTTATGTCTGAATAATGAATGCCACAGCTGTGTGTCAGAAAAAAGATGTTACCACTTATGTGGGATTGGCATGTGTTTATTTTTTTATTAAAAAGGTATTTTATTCAAAAGTCCAAATAAAGCTAATACACTCCTTCGACCTGTGCTCCTTGGTTCACATTGCATTTGTGCAGATTGCCCACCTTACAGTCCATAGCTTGTTGGCACATTTCTGTAGGTATAGAGTACACAACCGTTGTTATGCGTTCTTTAACACATCGAGGACCGGTCGCATGATATCATGCTTTTGGCTTTTAAACGTGGCGGACCGGGCGTGTGATATCATGATTTTAGGACGTGTTAGGTTGTAACACTATACCTTTCTCTGGCGCCACCCAAATGAATGACTACTGTGTAATATTACTCCGGAATGTTTGCCTAGTAGGCAGTAACTTGACCTCGCTGTTTTGGTTCCCCCTCCAAAGGAAAATAATCTTTGATCCTTCAAGCTGTTATGTACCAGGCTGGAAGTTAGCGCAATATGAATCGAGGACAGAAGTGGTTGAAGACGTACCAATCTCTCGGAGAACAAGACTTGTTCTCCGATGAGCTATCTGACGTGCCTTCTGAGAGGAGTAGTGAAAGTGACTTAGACAGTGGCAGTGACAGGGGAGAACAAACAGTAGGGGCCACAGACAATATAAGTGAAAGTAGCTCTGACAAAAGTGCAGGTAGTAAAATTGCGGGGACAGCCACATGGGGAAAAGTAGACAAAACGCCTACTTTGGGACAGTTTACTGGAAATCCAGGGGTGAAACAAATTCCATCGGACCCAACACAAGTGTCTGAAGTAGCAGAACTGTTTTTCGGAGATAGTTCCTTTGACATGTTATGTCAGGAAACTAACAGATACTATCTCCAACACTGTGAAGAATATGGCAGAAGTTATAAGGTGTTGAAGTGGGTGGATGTCACTTCAGCAGAAATGAAAACATTTTTTGCAGTAATCATTCTAATGGGGAATACAAAGAGGGATAATCTAGAAGAGTATTGGTTGACAGATCCATTTTTAGAAATTCCCAGTTTCAGCAAACTAATGAGCTGTAAGAGATTTGAACAAATTTGGTGGTGTTTGCATTTCAATGATAATGAACTGCAACCACAATCAACAAGCAGGCTTTTCAAAATTCAGCCCTTATTGAACTTTTCCGTTCAGAAATTTCAGACAGTTTATAAGCCAAACCAACAACTGTCTTTGGACGAATCTGTGATTCCTAGGAGGGGAAGGCTTTGTATGTGAGCATATAATCCTGGGAAACTTACAAAGTATGGCCTACTTATTTGTGTAGTTACTGAAAGCACGTCAGGCTATATTGGAAATTTATAAATTTATTCTGGTGAAGGAAAGAAATTACAAGAAACTATTTTTTCTGTTTTGGGACCCTATCTTGATCAAAATTACCATGTCTATCAAGACAATTATTATAACTGTGTGGTAACTGCAGAATACCTTCTTTCAAGAAAAGTGCGTGTTTGTGGAACAATTAGGGTGAGCAGAGGCCTTCCTCCAGATCTGAAAGAGGAATCTAAATCCCTGAAACATGGTGAAACCACATTCAGGAGGAAGGGGGATATTCTTCTTCAGCCTGGAGGGATACTCGTGTTGTGAATATGATTTCCACAATTCACAATTCGAGCATGGTTGATGTTCAAAGGAGGCATGGGCGAGTAAAGAAGCCTATTTGTATTTCTGAGTATAATATTGTCACGTGTTGGGTGTATAACGCGACAAATAACTTCACGCCATACTGGATATAGCGAATTTTATTTCACATCCGCTCTTACAATCACACAATTTACAGATTCACAATTACTGCTATCTGCAGTATCACAAATACTAGACTGCAAATGCCAGAATACAACTGACTGGTTGCTGGCTAACTCATTACTCTCTGCTGGCTAGATTGAGAACTGTAACTAACTCGCAACTTGAGAACCGGAACTAACCCGTGAATTCATAACTCGAGAACTAACTGTGAATAGTCTTCGCTGCTCCTTATGTAGCCTCGTTCCGGACAACACAGAAAACAGCCACGTAATAGGCGCCACTGTTGCTACCGTGTTTACCGGTGTTACTGGTAACGCTGTCGGGAGTTGTCTCTCGCAACCACTGTTTACCCGCGTTGCATTCTGCAAGTGCCAGAATACAACTGACTGGTTGCTGGCTAACTCGTTACTCTCTGCTGGCTAGATTGAGAACTGTAACTAACTCGCAACTTCGGAACTAACTCGTGAATTCGTAACTCGAGAACTAACTGTGAATAGTCTTCGCTGCTCCTTATGTAGTCTCGTTCCGGACAACACAGAAAACAGCCACGTAATAGGCGCCACTGTTGCTACCGTGTTTACTGGTGTTACTGGTAACGCTGTCGGGAGTTGTCTCTCGCAACCACTGTTTACCCGCATTGCATAGCGACCAGTGTGTCGGGACTCGACTCGCTTCGGCTCTGCTTGGCACGTCACCGCCGGTGGGGTAGGGGAAGGAGTGTTGACTGCCTGTTACCCTAGTAACGACAGCGCTCCGATGGTGTTACCTCACCACTGGCGGGGGAGGGTTGTCCTGCATAGTGCAACCCATCACAATATGTTCATGAAGGGAGATGATAGAGCTGATCAATACTTGGCCTATTATTCTCTTCCCAGGAAAACAATAAAGTGGACAAAGAAAGTTGCCTTGTGGCTTATAAATTGTGCCATTTTCAATTCATTTTTGGTTTACAAAAGTGTAAACCCCAATTCGAAATTGAAATACAAAGCATTTCTGATGAAGTGGCAAAGGCCTGGGCTACAGACCAGATGGCGGCAGAACGAGAGTCTGACAGACTTAGTGCGACCGGGACCATCAACTCCCACCCCTTGCAGGCCTCATGTGGACCCCCCTGGGCGACTCTCGGGTGATATGTGGAAACATACCCTCGTGAAAATTGTGAAGAGTGAACATTCCAAAGGGAAGCATCCTAGGCAATGCAATGTTTGCACAGTTCACAGAAAAAGGAGTATGACTGCCTACATTTGCAAGTTCTGTGTAATGCCACTTCACAGAGGGGAATGTTTCCAGAAATATCACACTCTCAAGCACTTCTAGGAGCATTGGTAAGTGTTCTCCAAAAATTTTAGTTCATAAAATTAATTAGGAGATTTTATATTATATTAATTTTTAAAGTGAACAGTGCACAAGTTAGGGTACTGGATTTAAAAAAGCCGGTCCCCAGGGTGATTTAAATATTTAAATTGCCAGTCCTCAATGTGTTAAGATCATTAATGTTGCGAGGTTTTGTAGCCTACACACATTCTTTGACCATTCCCATAACCAGAAATCACATCTAGTCAAGTCTGGTGACCTTGCTGGCCAAGGCAAAGGTCCACCTCTTCCAGTCCAACATCTACCAAATGTATCATCCAAACTAGTAAGGAATAATGCAGGGCTGCACCATCTTATTGAAAGAAACCATATCTTAAGATATGTAGAGGTAGATTGTCTTCCTCAAAATTCTGCAACATATCCAAGTAAGAAGCGCCCGTTACAGTCAAATCATTAAAAAAATATGGACCAATTATTCCAGAAATAGCACACCATATGTTAACCTTAGGAGAGTCTTACTTCATGGGGATTCTTTGTACACCAAATTATGCAATTGTACTTATTGACTTTTCCACTCACATGTAATGTGGCTTCATCCGACATAAGGAACTCAACAGAAGGGTCTATTTCTATCATTTTTAATAAAATTTGTGCAGTTTGTACATGAGGAATTTTATCATATATGTGGTAACATCTTTTTGACTAACCCTGTATAATACTTATGTCAAAATATTGCCACAGTTGTGTCCCAAATGATTGATACAAGTTATTGCTTCTCTCCAAGATCAGTATTATTAAAGTTGATGCCTAGCAGAATATTTGGATCTAAGAGGGAGTAAGTAACAGGTAGATGGAGAAAACTTCATAATGAGGATTTTCCTAACTTTGCTCTTCTCCAGTTGTGAAGGTTATCTAATCAAAGGGGGAGGGGATGGGCAAGGCTTCTACCAATCACAGGAGGGATAAATCTGTGCAAAAAAAAATATGGTCAGAAGACCTGAAGGGAAGAGACCTCCTAGAAAATCTAGGTGGAGATGGAAGGATAATATTAAAATTGATAAAGAATTGTGATGTGTGGACTTGCTAAGAATGCTGTCCAGTGGTAGGCCTTTTTGAACATGATATTGAACCTTTGGGTTTCGTAACATGAATGAAGTTTCCTTAGTAACAGAATATTAGTTTCTCAAGAATTACTCTGCCACATGGAGTGAGTTAGTTAACCATTTTTGATGATTTGATTCTTTCTTGACCAATCTTGAACATGACTCAGGACTTTCTTATGGGATTTCAGACGAGAATTAGAGCATCAGTGGGTCCATCGTCTTCGCAGCCCTGTTGCTCTGGGTGCTACGACAGCGGCAGGTCAGCATCAGTCACGAAGGATGCCATTCATGCATGAAGTACAAGATACTCAGAGATCGTGGCAGGCCTACTCGAGACCTGAACATCTAGATGTTCCAAGATTATCCCCATACAGAAGACTCCTTCGATACAGGGAGCATCCTTACAGTGAGACAGACTTGCTGGCAGAACTAGATTCTGTGTCTGCCCCAAGCACACGAGGCAGAAGTAACCCTAGAAGGTTGGGATCAAGAACTGTAAACTGTTTTTCGAGGCATGGGTCTCACACTGGCATTGCTGCAGCATCACGAATATGTCGAGGGGGCAGTGGCCGGCCTCTTGTGAGAGGAGTCACACCTCGCAGGGATAGCATAGGAGTTCGTTCACTGTCGTGCTTTCGAGATGGCGGCATTCATGTTCGGCCATATACTCGGACTGCCGAAATTCGTTCACAGTCATATACAGCACGGAACACGGGACCCCATTTACTAACATCTGAAGAACCAGGTGCAGCATATGCTCCCGAAATAAGATCACCAAATTTCATGGTGGGAGCTGGAAATACTGTTCCTGCTGTTGCAGTGCCTACTTCTGTAAATCAACAGAATAATGATCAACAACAGCAGCAGCAGCAGCAGCAAGATGCCTTCACAGTGCCACTTGTTCGAGTGAACGATGTCCCTATCACAGACACCTCAATCTTGAGCCAACCACAGCCCCAACAGAGGCCCCAGTCGCCACCATCACGACATCCCTCTCCACATCTAAGGAATCCTTTTATTCAGCAGCAGTCACAACAGGCACAATCTCCCCTTCGTTACCTTGGTGATTCATGGCGATACCCAGTCAGTCCAGGAGAAGGTTCATGGCGCAGTGGCTGGCGACCTCGTTTCCTACATCCTCGATATGTTGCTGCACCAAATCCTTTTGGTGATGACCAAGATGAACCTCTTATTGGACCCTTCATGGAGAACATCAATATCATTAGAGGTGATATCTCATAGATTAACACTTTGTCATTGGTGACATTTAAATAACCCTTTCATCTGTGCCAGAGAGTTTAAAGGGACATTGAAAAAAGAAATCGTAATTTTATCGGTTCTGGCACATAAAGTATAAAATTTTTGCACAGATAAGGAAAACATTACATCTACACAGAATAAAAATTAAGTGTATGACAAATTATTCTTGAAACAGTACAGGACATCTCCTTGGTTCTCAACGCGTGTTCCAACATGAGAACAGTTTGAACAGGGGAGCATTCATTAGCAAAGAACAAGATTATACAAACTGAGACATGTGGTAAATGCAATGCCAGACTGTAGGTGGCATAACTTCACATTTCTGTTTTGTAGAGACCTCTACTCTTGAACTGTAGAACTACAAGCTTGGAGCTGTCTAACAGTGAAAATGGCCAGTTGTTTTCCTACAGTAGATTTTTAAATTTACGGTGGTGGTACATGTGCTGTTGTCACTTTCCTGGCAAGGCAAGTAGTGGTGCATATACTGCATTGGCTTTAAAGTGTTAGTAAGTGATTACAGAGTCATGCAGTATCAAAATTTACTTTGGTTTACTGTCATTCATTTGCTCATTCATCTGCTTCTGTGCTGAACAACATTGTCTGTTGACACTGAGCAAGTTGGTATACATAGTAATATTTTGGGCTTATGTTATAGTGGAGGCCAGTTCAAGCCTCTGCTAGACCAGGGACTGCTGTGACAGGTGTTTTCTCTCACTCTATGCAGACAGATGATAGGACAATACTTCAAATTAGACCATGACCACTTTTTTCCTCATCCAGTCTAGTTCATTATTAATTAATCATTCTACCATTCATCGCTGTACACTCTGAGCTGCCTGTCACCATTTTTAACACATTGAGGACCGGTTGCATGATATGATTTTAGGACACGTTAGGTTGTAAAACACTATACCTTGCTCTGGTGCCACCCAAGTTGCGTGCAATGGCATAATAAAACTCTGGTATGTTTACTCACTTGTCAGTAACTTGACCTCGCTGTGTTCTTAACCCACTATAAACGAAAATGATTTGCTGCTCTTTGAGCTGTATGTATCAGCCAGTAGTCAGTGGTGGGGTATGGACAGGGATAAATTCTTCTCCGATGACCTAGCTGGCCTGCCTTGTGAGACGTGTAGTCATGATGATTCAGAGAGCGGCAGTGACAGGGTAGAACAAAGAATTGTGGCCACAGACAGTAAAAATGACAGTAGCTCCAACAATAATGGGGGTAATAACATTGCAGGGACAGTAAAAAATCTAAAAAAATCACCCTGATTCGAAATTGAAATACAAAGCATTTCTGATGAATGTGGCAAAGGCCTGGGCTACAGACCAGATGGTGGCGGCAGAACCAGAGTCAGACACAGACTTAGTGCGACCGGGCCCATCAACTCCCACCCCACGCATGCCTCATGTGGACCCCCCCAGGGCGACTCTTGGGTGATATGTGGAAACATACCCTCGTGAAAATTGTGAAGAGTGAACATTCCAAGGGGAAGCACCCTTCTAGGCAATGCCGTGTTTGCACAGTTCACAAAAAAAGGAGTATATCTACATTTGCATGTTCTGTGTAATGCCATTTCACAAAGGGGAATGTTTCTAGAAATATCACACCCTCAAGCACTTCTAGGAGCATTGGTAAGTGTTCTCCAAAAATTTTAGTTCATAAAATGAATTAGGAGATTTTATATTAATTTTTAAAGTGAACAGTGCACAAGTTAGGATAGTAGGTTTAATAATGACGGCCCCAGGGTGATTAAATCGCCGTTCCTTAATGTGCTAAAATGAAACATCTCTTGACATTTTCAGTACCACAAGAAATGTATGTGAGATGGAATGTCTCTTATTTTGGTGCTATGCAGACAGTTCATATTGTTCACAGGCTTTATGTGCATCGTCCATCCATGTACTTAAAATATCAATTTAAAATTTTAACTTTGGAGCTCTTTAAAGGCATGAACTGTTAAATTTTGGTGTTTGTGCATGTAGTAAGGTTTTGATTACCACTTTACATGTTTACTCTGAATGTGTTGGTGTGGCAGTGACACTCTAGACTTATCTTCAGGATGTGTTCAGTTTTGTATCTTGCTGGGACACTTGCTATTCTGAGGGTTTTCATGGTTTTCCTTATTCCCTGAAGTCAGATACCAGGATTGTACCTTGGTTATGCCATGACAACCACTTCATCCCAAATCCTTTCCAATTCATCTTTTATTTGTGAGCCTACCACGCAGTGCTGTATAGTTCAGCTATTGATAGTGCTGTAAAGGAACACACTAAAAGGAAATATGTATATGTTTACATTGGCCTTGTCTTCCAGAATTTAACTAGACATGTCATTAAGTTTGAAATTAAGGTTGTTATATGTATCAAAGAGATACAGCCTTACTTTATAGGAACAGAATATTGTGTTCAGCCCCTTGAAACCTTCTTTAAATGACACATTTCATGGCTGTGATCCTATTTAAATGCTGAAAGAGGTAAACAAAACTGTTCCCATAAAAGTTTGAGCCACTCACGAGGCAACTCTTTGGTATTCAGTGTTCCCACAAATTGTGCTAATTATTACTACTCAGTGGGTTAATGTGCAGCAGAATTCCTTCCAGATTCATTCATCATAACTGATGCGCCTATGTCACCAAACCACAGACTCCAAGCTTGGGACTTCTCCAGACTCAGCATACCTGATATTAGTAACGGTAAGTAAACATTGTGCAGTATTGAAATGCGTAAAAAGAACTGAATCTTAATGAATGCAGAAAACGTTTTGAAATTCGGAAGGGAAGACATATATAAACTTTGGTCTCACCAGATGTTCCAGAATCATATGTGATTATGTGGTACAGTTTTGCATTTATTTATCCTAGTTTCATTTGTGTTGCTGTACTTACAATATTATCTAAATTAAATTTTATAGACTGCACCCTCTTGTGGTTATGACTGTTAACACAATAATAAAGAAGAATATTGTCATATGTAGGGTGGTACGCATGACAAAATGATGGGTTCTAGTTCAGATGATTGGATTTATTAGCACTTTGGTTACAGTTTCTCTTAATCACATTTACTGCAGGCAGTACAGTGCTTTTGCTGTTACATACTTTCAAGTTCACCGTTGCACCAGCACTAGGACTCCCAGTCTTCACTAGTTATATCCTGGCAATGGAGATTATTCCATTTCTGTTGCCCACTGGTTAACACTCCACAGGTGAACTCTCAACTGACTCCTATAGCATCACTTGTCTTCAGGCTGACTCCTAGGCACAGCCCCCGCAGAAAACACAGCCTCTTGTTGTAAAGGCATATTTACCTCATTGCATAGCAACAGTCGTGGCATGGACCACATAGAAAACACCGTTCTTCTGTTGTGGGCATGAATGTTTACCGTTGCCTTGCATGGCAGAGTGCTTTTGCTCAGCACAGACCACATAGAAAACCATCTCTCTGTTGTTGAGGTTTACTGAACCATTGCTTGGTAAAGTGTCAATGAAATATGTTACATTGCTCCCTCCTTAAGGCTGCTTGTCCCAAGTAGCCTGTTGGCACATCACCGTTCCTTCTTTTCTGAGGGCTGTGCTTGCAACATCTGTGTTTGGTCTTCTCTTCTTGCGGCGACTATTCTCCAACTGCTACCACCGCTCCCTCCTTAAGACCAGCTCGTCCTGAGCGGTTTCCTTATAAGGTTCCAGTTAGTCCAAGTTCTCACAATAATCCAATGTTCTCCTCCCCCCCAATTTTTGTCTTCACCCAAAGATATTGGGCTTTATTGTGTTGACGTTCATAACCATAAGAGCAGTTTGGTGTGGAAGTAAATACAGATAAACTGAACATGCAACACAGAGCCAGAATTGGCAACCAATTTGTAGTGTCACTAACCAGATTAGAATAGAACAGTTTCCATTAAAGGTCATTAAGTGAGCATTGTACTCTGACTCTTTGATCTGTTTTGTATCCTGTTTTTAAGATTAATGCTCTAGCACTCCTGCTTGTCGAACAGGGCCTCAGTACTTTCTTATGAAACTAACACTCTCATTGAGAAGCGGTACTCACTCAGCTACTTGAGAAATCCCCCACCTTTAATACAATTTGATGGTTCATTATCATATTCACAAAGCCTACCACTGGTCCCTGTCTTGAGCCAGATTTATCCACTCATCACCCTCTCTCCCATCCTCTTTCTTGAAGATTGACCAGATAATCTTGTGCGTGCTTACGTGGTCATATCTGCTGGCAGCCTTTGAGTCTGTACTCAGCTTACTTTGGGCCAATTCTGTCCATTTCCCATCCTCAACCTATTTCACTAGTATTGATGTTAATGTTGTACTTCCATCTTCATCTTATTCTTCCAAGCGACAACTTTCCAAAAGGTTTCCCCACCAAAGATCAATGTGCATGTGTCTCAGCCAGTTGTAAGCTTACTGGGAGCACTTGGTGAGAACCATATGCAGTATTCTGCAAACTGATTTTATAAGTTGGCCTTCACTCATTAAGAGGCACTTATAAAAAATAATTTTTCTTCTTCAGCTGACAAGAATGTGGTGGTAGCCGAATGCAAGATCCACAATGATGCTAGTGTCGATGTATCTAATGATGGCCGTCTCTTGGTAACGCTTCTCCCTACAGGACGTTTGGGTACTGCCATGTTGGGTATGGATCTTATTTATTTTGTGGTTTATTTAGCAAGCTTGTCAGTACCCCAGATTCTATATAGCACTGAATAATAGGATGATTTAATGACTAGTTGGTTGGAAAGAATGTGGGAAGAAGTGGCTGTGCCCTAATTTGAAATGCTGTCCTATCAAATACCTGGAGGGGCTAAGGAAAAGCCATGAAAAATGAGTCAGGATGGTCGGTATTCCAGCTGAGGTTTGCACTGACCACCTCTTGAATACAAGCCGGAAGCAGTACTGCCCATTTAGATGAGAGTCTTACATTTGAACCATTTAAAGATGTACACATGGCAGCAGGCAAAGTGCTATGATTTGAAACATGATGGATTACACAGGACAAAAACACAAGCCAGAAACCATGATCCAAAATTACAGCTAGAAGTTCACAATGATGTTTGGCCAAAGTAATGCAATGATTGCACAAGATACTATGACAAGGTAACCCATTTGCTGTGTCATACAAACTAATCCATCAAATGCAATGAAATACATGAATAAATGATTAAAATGTGTCAATATTTAATAATAACCTTACAAGATCTGTTAGAATGGCATATGTTGTTATTCCAGGTACAGCTGGTTGTGTTTTATATTTGGTTACATACTTAGTATACAGAGGGGTCCAAAATAATGTACTCACTCTTTGATAGTCAATATCTTTGGAACAAAATGACATGTAGTTACAATTCTTGCATGGAGAGAGAGAGAGAGAGAGAGTCATTGTATGTGTTCGAAGTAACCGCCATCAGTGGCTAAACAGCGTCGATGCTGCCAAACTGCTGAGCGAACTACGGCTGTCAGTGTGTCTGGTGTGATGGCTGCACACAACACTTCGATGGTTTCTTGTGGTGTGTTCAGTGTAGCTGGCTTTTGTCGATAAACTTCATCCTTCAAGGTTCCCCATAGGTAGAAGTCGAGAGCTGTTATGTCTGGAGACCGTGGTGGGTACTCTAGTACCTCTTCGACCTATCCGTCGTCCAGGTAGAGTGTCATCCAAGTATGCCCTGACATCTCAATGGTAGTGAGGTGGAGCACCATCTTGTTGTAGGTAAAATCTCTCATCTCCAAACAACTCTCGAATGGGAGGGGAAATCAATGTCTGAAGCATATCGAGATACACATGACCAGCTGGTCTTGTTACTATCCGTGGTTGCCCAGATCTTTGCTTATGCACATCATGAACAGTACCATTGACTTCAAATTTGTCCAGAATATGGACAGTTGTTCAGTGTGTTGGTGACTGAGTTCCAAACTCATTCTGCCATTGTTGTACCTCTTTAACGTTTTTGTACTTCCACTACCACTTCAGTACAGCCTTGCGTTGCTTTCAGCCATTGTTGCTACTGTCTTCTGCTCACAGCGCGCATACAGCACGTTACTTATGTGACCTTCGCCATCTGTTGAGAAAACGTTACACTACACCAGTGGTTCTCAAACTTTTTACCTCTGAGCCCCTCCTGACAAGAGAGAATACTCTCAGGCCCCCAGCCTGCTTCTTTTTTATCAAAATAGAAGTCATGGTATGTTTGACGTTTTATTCAGTTTATTTTGTGTTTTTCTACCTACTATTTAGCAGTTTTTTACTCAAAATTAAGGTAACACAATATTAGGCCTACAATAAAAATTAGTTTTAACACTTGCAATTAACCAAAGTATGTATTGAAATGAAACGATATTTATAACAAGTATTTAATTTTTTTCTGCAAAGAAAATCAAACATTTAAATGTCAAAGTTCAGTGTGATGGATGGGCCTGCTTTTGAGAACAAAGTTTATCAAAACGTGATGTAATATCAGAAATGACCACTCTGACTTCTTTAGCAATATTTAGCCTTGAACGTTACTTTGCCTTTATAGCTGCCAAAGCAGAAAAGCCTGTCTCGCATAAGTAAGTTGTTGTGAAAGGAATCAGCATCTTCAATGCTTTCTGGCTCAAAGTTGGGAATTCCTTGCCAATATGTATCCAGAACTCCAACAAAGACAATTCTTTAAATTTACTTTTTAATGAAGTATCACTAGTGAGATCGGTGAGTTGGTCTTGCTCATTTACATTCAGAGATGATGGCCCAGGAGCATTTTTGAATAGATTTTTAATCCAATTAAATTAATCAAAATCATTGCAAAAGTATTTCTCGAAATGAACTTTCAACATTATGAGATCACCAAGTAGGCAGCTTTTTATGTCCATTGGAAGCACTGGATTATCAGTGTCTTGTACCATTGGCACCAGCGTAGGGAACATGTCTAGCGTGTCACTTTCCATACTGTTTCTCCAGAGCTCTAATTTTCTCATGAATGCCTTCACTTTGTCATTCCAAGAAAGTACAGTTGCCTCATTCCCTTGAAGTGAAGTGTTGAGGATATTTAGTTTCTCAAATATATCTGTGAGGTAAGCCATTTTCAGTAAAAAATCCTTGTCGCTGAAACTGTCTGCCAGTGAGCGAGTTCCCTCTAAAAAACAGAACACCTCATGCCTCAGCTCAAACATTCTCTTTAATACCTTGCCTCTTGAAAGCCACCGAGCATCACTAAAAAACAACAGCAGTGTGCTTGGCACCCATTTCCTCACACAGCATTTTAAAAAGTCTAGACTTTAGAGGTATTGTCCTGATAACATTGACGGTTTTTACAACCATCTGCAGCGCTTTGAGCAGTGAATGGTACGCTTGAAGCATGAAACTTTCACTAAAATGATCTTAAAAGATGGTTTTTATAACCTTACCTTATAATATGAGCGCCCGGTATCTTGGCAATGGAAGCAGGTGTTTAGAATTTGAGCAGTGTAAGGTAGGCCTTGAAGCATTCTTCTAACACAACGCTGCCCCCACATTCACCACACCAATATTGTGTATCTTTTCTTTGGCTCTTTTTTTTTAACCACACATCTTCTGTGCGGCCTTGCCTTCTTCCCCGTGAGGGGTATACGTTCAAGGAAATGTCTTTCCGTGAGCTGTTTA